GATTATTTCTATCAGCCAATGGGGTTCCTGATTATTTCTATCAGCCAATGGGGTTCCTGATTGTTTCTATCAGCTAATAGGACTCCTGATTATTTCTATCAACCAATGGGGTTCCTGATAATATCTTTCAGCTAACTGGGCTCAGGATTATTTCTATCAGCAAATTGGGGTTTCAGAATATCACTGGCAGCCAAGAAGTTACCAAATTACGCCTAGATATTGAAATTGAAAAAATTGTCAAGATTTAAGTATCAGAAGCAAATATAAAAATTGTGATGTCACTATCTTTGATATTTGTAGGAGAGTGATGAACCGAGGTCTGAAACAGACTCTGAAGACCGCCATTATATCCATCCTAATAATAACAATTCTTTAGAGAAGAGGAAAAATCAATTAAATTATGCATTTAGTCGCGATTCCGCACGTCAATCCCTCAGTAATAACCCGGAAATGTTTCGCTGGCTCGAAGCTGCCGAGAGACACGAGGATAACTTACACGTAAGTTGTTGAACTGTTTTTAGCAACACTCAACACTTACATTTCTCTTCCTTTACTTCCGTTTGGGTGTGGCTTTACTCCTTTAATTATTCTTAAAGTGATACTATGTCTTAGAATGAACATAAAATTTAAGTTCTCGAAATGGTCAATATGAGTATATATTCATCAGTGAACTTACCTGGTGTCATAAAGTTACAACAGAATCCCTGTAAAATCTAGAAAATTGGAAAATTCAAAAAACTAAGTCATTATTGAAAAAGGCTTAATCTTGATATTAAGTGTTTTTCAATAGTTTATTGAATATTTATGGATAATTATTAAGTTTTTTGGATTTATCGGATTATATAAGGATCCTGTTATGTTATTTATGACACCAGGTATATCTATTGACTCTTATTCGCCAAGTTTAAAATTCTAAAATTTTATGTTCATTCTAAGACGTAGTATCACAGTAATACAGATAGCAAAAATTAAGTTTCTGGTAATAAGCTATTCAGAAATTAAGCTTTTTCGGTAAATATTTAGAAAATTACATATAATCACTGTAATTGATTTAGTATTGAGTCAAATACAAATCTTCAGGAGTAAACCTACATGTATAATATATGCTATCCTTTTGGTTATTTTGGTTTTCAGGTGTAACCTTTAAACTATGATTTCCAATATCTAACTTTTTCTTTAAAGATGGTTTTCCTTATTTTTTAGTGTCAAATTAAGTAAACTATTTGATTAATTGGTATTTCTAATGAATTACCATGTATTCTTAATCATATCATTATTTTCTTATTGCATATAATTAAGAGTTTTAATCTATCATATATGTCCATGTATTTACAGTCTGGATAAACAAAAAAAGACTTTTTGACCTTTCTTGATATGTCACTCATTGGAATTCTGCTGGTAATTTTCTTCTAATTTAGCTAATTATGAATTAATTATGGACATGTGAGACAAACTGGTATTTTTCCAAGTCATAAGCACACCTCTACTTTTTATTCATATAAGTATTAGCATTTTGATTTTCATAAATGAAAATAAGGGAACCCATCTTTAATTTAACCCTAGATTTTATTTTAGTTACTTTTTGTCCTCAATTTTTCTAAAACTGGTTAAAAATTTTCTTGCTGGGAATAACAATTTAAGACTGAAAATTTGATATTTTTTAAACCTGACAAATAACTCAAAAACCCTGATTCCTCATTAATGCTTTAAGTACCATTTTGTTTTCCTTTAGATAGAAATCTTTAACAAATTAGTGTTTCGTGACTTATATCCCGTTTACACTCGGCTCCGATAAAGTGCCTTTTTTACTAGTGTAAACGGCACCGCAATAAGAGGTGGGCCAGGTCCAGATCGGTGCCTGGCCCGCTTCAATTTTACTAGTGTAAAACGAATGCATGCCTGGCTCCGTTTGAAAATTCTTCTGCGCATGTGCAGGGTTTACAACTTCCGTATCGGTGGCCATTATAAATCTACAAATTTGGACCTTTTGTAATCTTTTGAATTAGAGAGCACACGCTTATTTCCGTTTAAATTGGGCCTGGCCCAGATCACAGAACGCCTGTGTAAACAGACGTTTTGATTGGAGCCGGGCACCGATCCGCGCCAGGCTCTCTTTATCGGGGCCTAGTGTAAAAGGGGTATAAAAGGCTTTTGATCCAGTATGTCATGATGGCCAAAAGTTGAAAAGACTGATTTGCTTTGTTCAGAGTAATTCTTTTGAAACAGCATTTCAAACTGGCCAAATGCTGAACATTTTTTTTTTGTACTGTAACCTTTTATATACTAATATTTTGATTTTGTCCCTTTTTTGTCCTTTTTTTGTTTATTTTGTGTTTTGTAATGTTTTGTTGATATGTCTTTTCAAAATAACCTGGAATGAATATAATTTTAAAGGGATTGTTAATAGGTTTTCTAAATTTTTTATGTGTATCAAGGACACTGATAGCATCAATTTTCACCATTCCAATTTTCAATCAGACGTCTGTGGTTCATGCAATTCCACTTAAATTAAGCGTTTGAGGTCATTAGTCGCAAAGAGCCTTTTATGTGATAAAGCATATTTTGCCACAAGTGATTCCTTGATTATGGAACAAAAAAAAAATTTAGCTATCTAGCTTCATTTGCACAATCAGATAATCTCTTTTATTTCCTATTTTAGGGGCGTCAAGGACCCGTGGGTAGTAGTAGTTTTGAAGAAGATACACATGAGGAAAACAGAGGGTAAGTGCATTCAAGATGATTTTGCTTTGATATTTATGCCAGCTTTGGTCTAAAGAATTGCCCTGCTTTGCATTTTCAATGAAAAATCAATTGAAAATCATACTGGGTAACCCCAAAAATTAAACATGGTAACTAAAAAATCAACTTTTAGTAATATAGTTTTGGATTTTTTTGACATAATCTCTTAATTTGAAATATTTCCACTCTCACTGTATTTGTCACAGTGAACCCTTTGACAAGAAATTCATTCAAATTCACGTAAACTGCAGTGGGTCACGTGGTCACATTCCTGAGCAATATGGCTGCTGTTGAGGCCTTATTTTTGTAACGGCAATCTTTTTGAAATATAATTTATCAATCGGAAACTTCATGAAAAGAATACATTAGACAGTGGAAATATAAGCAATGAACGATGGACCCACTGCAGTTACGGTGATATGAATACATTGGGCAAGGTGCCAAATTTATCATGACTGTCTTCGGCAGCTCATTCAATTTGGCACGTTGCCCAATGTATTCATATCATCGTAACTGCAGTGGGCCCATCGTTCATTGCTTAAGTATCTGCATAATACTACTGTCTTTGCACATTTGTCATCTAATCAAAATATGCAGTTTTTAAGTTAATATAGATATTTTCAAACCAGTATTAAAAGTCCAGGCGTTAATCCCTGCATGGGTCGAGATGATACCTTTGAATTTTTCCGTGCATTCATTGATGTAGGTCAGAGGGGTTGAAATGGAAAAAGTGTCTAGTCGTTCAGAATGGGACTATAATTCGAGGTCCTGACAAGGCACATTAAAGATCCCTCAACAGTTGAAAATCAAAAACAGAGTAGGCTTATGCCGCTGTCCATACAAAAATTTAGCCCAATAAGGTGCATAAAAGTAGGACGTAAAACTCCATTCATTTCATTTCTAGAAATTTTAACCAAAATTTTGCAAATCTTGAAAATTGGCCATTGATGATGTTTGCTTATGTTTATATTTCTATCAACACAAAGACATTATAATACTAACTGTAGATCTTCGAATTGGATGCTGGTGTTTTTATTCTAATAAAAATTATCATTAAAATTTGATTTTCAAATGTGCATAGATAGTAGGCTGCACTGTATTGGTAATTCTGTATTGTACCTTGATGTTGTTTGCTTTTAATCAGTGTTGTCAAGACTGTAGTAGGGCAACAGCCGGAAGAGAAGGGTCCAGAAATAGTTGCTTCTGTTGACAATACTGATGATGATGTGATTGTATTGATCAATGATGGTGGACCACTAGGTATACATGTAATCCCTGATTTCGATGAGAATGGAAGGTAATTGCTACTTGCATTATTTGTGGGGAAAGGTTGCTATATTGCCAATTGATTATGAAAATTTCTAAAGCTACAGGCTGTGCATTAAAGATGGGTTCCATCATTTTCATTTATGAAAATGAAAATGCTAATACTTATATGAATAGAAAGTAGAGGTGTTCTAATGACTTGGAAAAATACCAGTTTGTCTCACATGTCCATAATTAATTCATAATTAGCTAAATTAGAAGAGAGTTACCAGCAGAATTCCAATGAGTGACCGATCAAAAAAGGTCAAAAAGTCTTTTTTTGTTTATCCAGACTGTAAATACATGGATATTTATGATTGGTTAAAACTTGAATTATATGCAATATAAGAAAATAATGATATGATTAAAAATACATGATAATTTATTAGAAACACCAATTAATCAAATAGTTTGCTTAATTTGACACTAAAAAATAAGGAAACACATCTTTAAAAAGATTGTTGGGAAGTATGAATTTGAGGTAGCACAATTTCTCTTATTGCAAATTGCATGGCAGAATAAAAAAGGTAGGGTATGGTATAAGACGTTGCAAAGATCCATGACAGATGGAATTGAAAAAAGGACTAATGCTGCTTTTCTGGCAATTCTTCAGATCTTTTTTAAAATGACAGGTTTGCCATCCGTTTGAACAATCATAACTTATACTCAGAAACGTCGAAATCCATGTGTGTCAAGAATTATCCGAATATGAAAGTTAAAAAGAATACTAGTCATTTCTGGTGATACAGCCATATATTGAAAAGACGCATATAGAATTAGAAAGTGAAATTTCTATTTTGGAGTATATTTGAAGGAATTATTTCTAGTACTTCTGAAGACTATTTACACATATTCTAGATCCAAATCAACACCCGAAAATAGCGAACCTGTTCCTTCAAATATTCATGTTTAGAGAGTCCACATAAAAATGTTCATCTGGTATATAAATTTGATTTTTAAGGGATATGGGTCTGATGATTCAAGGAATAGAAAAAGGAGGAAGAGTTTTTAAAGATGGACGCTTAAAAGAAGAAGATAAAATTGTGGAAATCAATGGTCTAAGTCTTCTTCATGAAACATTTAAACGGTAAATATTGATGATTGATTGAATATCTGAAACGTGTGTTAGGAAATATAATATATTATAAGATATTACATTTGTGACTGGATGTGTCAACTAGGCTTCCATTTTGGAGAGACCACATGGCTTAAAGTATTATTTGACATCATTCAGAGAGTCTACAGAGCTGATAATGCTTACTTAGGTTTTGTAGGTAGGTAGGTAGATGACAAGTTAACGTTCGCTTCCAGCGGATGCTGATATCGCAAACTAGGTAGTTGTTGGTAGTCGTAGTAGTTGGTAGTTGGATTGGTTCAAATTGGATGATTCTGTGTTGTGGGTATGGTTGTTGATTCTTCGTTAGATCTGGTCGGGTCGAATGACATGGCGATGAAACTCGGCCCTGGATGGTGTGGCGTGAGTTACTCAGTGTTTTATACATGGTGCCATGGCCCCTCACTTCGGGCCAGAAAAATTAAAAATTTATTCTACTTTCACCAAAATCGCTTTAGATCTATTGTCCACCTTCCTATACACGTCATTGGATTCCTTATATGTATTTTGTTTTATAATCAGAGAATTCTTTTTTTTCCAGCGCTCAAGGAATATTCCGAGAAGCCATGAAGACAAAAGAATTACGGTTACGGGTGAAAAAAGCGGCACCACCGCTACCTTCCAAACCTCCACCATTGCTTCCGAAACCTAAAAATCATTCCCCATTGAAACCATCACCATTAACCTTGACTTCAAATAGTCAAGATCAACCATTCTCAAGTGAAACTAAACTGGACGCTAACGCAAACAATATGACCGTCAAGCCAAATTCTTTGCCATTAGATAAAGTGCCCAATATAACATCAGAGACCCCTCCATCCCCAACAAAAAAGACCCCACCAGCAGTGCCTGTTCGCCATCCATCAACATCCTTATCCCATGAAAATAAAGATCAACATACCTTCATAGCACCAACCAATACAAGGAAAATTGGAAAACGGATAAATATTCAGCTTAAAAAAGGTAAGCTTTGATATGATTCAAAAGTTTCTAGCCTTTGTATGTGTATCAGGGACATTTATTCTGTCCCAGCAAAATTTCCCTCATATGACACTGCAACAAGAGAACATTTCCAAATCAACAATTCTGAATTCAGAAATCAAATTTCCAATTTTTTTTTATCTTTTTTGCAGGAGAGCTTGGCTTAGGATTTAGTGTGACCTCCAGAGACAACATGACTGGTGGTGAAATACCAATTTATATTAAAAATATTCTGCCACAGGGAGCAGCTATAGCTGATGGTCGCCTTAAACCAGGAGACAGACTGCTTGAGGTAAGGCATTACGAGTATTGCTTCTCTTTGGAGGAGTCTACTACACTACAGCTTTTACTCCCAATTTTGCCTTTCTTTGGGCGAAATTTTCCGACTAACGGAATAGTCTTGGTTGTACGAATTTATATTGCTTGAGGTAAGGCATTATGAGTATTTGATGTTACTCATGATGTCTTCAGCAACATAAGCATTCACGATGCAACGTTATTTTCAAACCGGCCAATCGGCATGTTTGCATATAGTCATTTTACCTTTTGTTTTGTAAATATGACACAGGCATTGAAGTTGTGAATATTATGTTGGCATTGGCAACCCATCTTGTATGAAAAATGTATTTTTGATTGGTCGAAAATGACCGTTGAAACAAGCCTCATTTTAATATTCAGTACATTATTTGTAGGTAAACAGTGAAGGTATGACTGGAAAATCTCAATCAGAGGCTGTAGCCTTTCTTCGTAAAATACCTAAAAATAGCATCGTGGAGTTAGTTGTATCCAGACAGGAACTGGAGACAACCAATGAAAACAAAGAAAATATTGAGAATATTTCGGCAACGGAAGTGGTATGTTGTGCTTGATCTCATTTGTCATTTTATCCTTGTGGATCCTCATGTCTTATTTTAAGCTTCTGACTCGTGCCTAATTTTACGCTTCTGACTCACTGACTCATGCCTAATTTAAGCTCCTGATTCATTGACTCATGTCTAATTTTAAGCTTCTTTACCCACTGACTCATGCCTAATTTTAAGCTTCCTGACTCACTGACTCAAGCCTAATTTTAAGCTTCTTCATTCATTGACTCATGCCTAATTGTTAGCTCCTGACTCACTGACTCATGCCTAATTTTAAGCTTCTTCACTCATTGACTCATGCTTAATTTTAAGCTTCTTTACTCATTGACTAATGCCTACTTTTAAGCTTCGTTACTCATTGACTCATGCCTAATTTTAAGCTTGTGACTCACTGACTCATGCCTAATTTTAATCTTCTTTACTCATTGACTCATACCTGACTTTAAGCCTGTACTCAAAAAATCGTGTCTAATTTTAAGCTTCTGACTCATATCTCTGAGCTTCTTTACTAAATGACTTCATGCAAATGAAAATAATTTCCTTTTTTCCAGTCACAAGATGAGAAAATCAAACCATTAGCTCCGATAGAATTAAAAGTTTCAAAAACTGATTCAGAAGATGAAAGCACAATCACAAATTTAGTGAACTCAGAAGTCATACTACTAGACATTCCGTTAAATAATTCCGAGGCAACAGGACTGGGCGTCAGTGTCAAAGGAAAGTCTATTTCGACCCCCCAGGGCACTAAAGATTTGGGAATATTTATCAAATCAGTGATGCCTGGGGGTGCTGCATTTAAGGTAAGATTCATTTAGGGCTGTTTTTGCAGATTCGACTTTCTTGGGAGCATGTAAGGACTTTATTCAGGATATGAATACTGCCTAGAATTGCTGACAATTATAGCCCCACAAAAGAACTAGAATCTGGAAAGTGATACATATAGCTCAAATTAAGCTGGTAAATTGAATTTTCATGTCCAGTTTATTTGCTTACTTTGCTCATATGCCTAAACTTCGGGGTTGGAACTCCCATTTCTAAAACAGCTGTTGAGTTTTAGTCTTTTAACATCAATTTTTTTTTTCAGGATGGCCGTTTGATCATGAACGATCAGCTATTAGAAATAAATGGTGAAAAATTAGTGGGTTTAACCAACATTAAAGCTATGGAAAAATTGCGTAATGCGATGCAAAGTGAGGGACCCATACCTGGACATACATTCCTTTCAGTGGCCAGAAAAATTGGCGCTCCCTCACCCTTTTCACAAGGGGATCAAAATGTGGTGACTGACTCGACAGAACTTGTGATGCAAGGTGTAAACAGTGCTTTAAAAAATAAGGGAGATAACTCTCAAATTCCAGTGACTTCAGACCGCAATAAACCCCTCAATCCAATTCTGGATAGACTTATGGGTAATACAAACAGTCCAGTGCCAGGTGGTTTAAGAAATGAATCGTACACACGAGCGACTCAGGATAGTTTTTTGAACGACAGCAAAGACGCAATTGATGGGGGACCACCTCAAAATTCTGTGTCCAGTAAAGTCAAATTGTTTCAAGCACCGACTGTCCATCCTAGACATCAGGATGAAGTCATCATTGAGAATGATGCCTATTCGTTGCCCAGAGTAAGTTCACATCGTAGTTCAGATTACCTCAAGATGTTTTGTGTTTTTCATATTGAAAATGATGCCTACACATTGCCCAAAGATCTATGTATCTGCATTAGCAAGTTGCTTTGACTCAACAGTTAAGTTTCAAAGAGATGAAGATGAAATGCACTGAACAGACGTCACATTTTTCTGCAGGATGTCAAGATTTTTCCTTCCTTTGCCTACTTTGACGCTCAGGAACGAACAAATTTGAGTCAAACAGACAGTGTTTTTAATGAATATCAAAGTTATTTAAGACTTAAGATTTGGATTCAAACAAAGTCTATTTTATTCCGCCTTACTGACTTTTGACTCCCTACATTTTGCCCAAAAAAGGAACCGCATCATGGTATAACCATTATTTTTATCCAATTTTTGTGTTTCAGAAAAGTCAATTCCGACCTCGTCCTCATTCTACTATTGGTGTTCCAATAAAATCTGATGAAACTACCTCCAGTACTGAAGATCTACATTCTCAATCCATTCCCAAACATCGTCAGTCCAACTCCTTAGATACAACTCATCAAGATTCAGATCTGTATGTCATTATTTTTGGGGTTTTTTTTTCAACCCTTTGTCTATCTGTCAGCAATGGTGGTTGGAAAGACCAGCATATGAAGAAAAGGGGACAATCTTTTGCCGGGACAATAAACTGAAGTCCTCTATGCCAGTGCTTCTCAAACTCGGTGAAATCATTCCACCCTGAAAGAGTTCTTCCAAATCTATTTCGTAAATGACGCCATTTTAGTCGTATTTCACATTGTCTCCCATTTTCTCCCTAGTCCAACGATTCCTCCCCATGGTCTTCCAATTCCACCCTTCTTGAGAAGCACTGATCTATGCAACATTAAAGACCCCCATAAACTAGGAAATTTAGTAAAAGGTTACTGCATGCAAATGTTTTATGAATTCCACCTCCAAAGAAGCCTGACAGTTTTGGTCTTTTGTAGGAGTCCCGAGGGTGATCCAGGTGGTTTTAGTCGTGAGGGTTTCGGCCGTCAGAGTATGTCTGAGAAACGTAAAGGTCACATTGATCCCAGAACAACAGAACAATTTTGGCGTGTTCGCTCTGGTCGGGAACAAAGGACTGGTAAGTTGAGTCTATAGATATTATATTAACTGCATTTAAAGGGCTGTAATCAAACCCAAAGGATAGAATTAGTGTCTGGACAAAGTGGACACAAATGTTTAACGATCAGCCTGTGTTATCAATATGGAAAACACTGTCTTTGGAACTTTACTGCATTACATGTGTCCAGGTATGGACCAATCAAATCTCTTGAAATTCAAAGAGTTTTTACTATTTTGTAATTGTTTGTTGACTTGGATTGAGCCAGATTTGCAATGTGTCCAAAAGGTAATAATCAGAATGGCCTTTTGTAATTCTTTGCATCAAAAAACATCCAGGGTCAAGTCCAGGAGTTTTCAACCTGGGGCCTTATTCTCCAAAATTTAACTTAAATAAAAAATCAGGATTTTAAGAAATACGGCAATCTGATTGGATAATAATACTAAATTTAAAATCAATTTTAGTAATTGACCAATCAGATCACTGGAACACTATAATCATCTTAAGTTTAGTTTTCAAGAATAAGACCCCTGGTAGTGTTTATTCCCAAAGGGTAATTTTGAACCTTTTGGAGGGTAATGTGGTGTTTGTAGTCAAGCAAATGTTTGGACAATTATAATTCAAGTTGTACTATTCAGTTAGGCTATGTTGTTCTCCAGGGATTACAGGGAAAATTTGAGAGAAAATGACGAAATAGTAAGGAATTCTAGGAGAAAGGGCAGTAATGTAATCAGTCAAGGATCCTAATATTGGTAATAGAAAGAAAAAGGTTGAAAACCTCTGCTCAAATCAAATAATTGATTGTTGAATTTGATAATTAGATATAGACCAATAAAACTTCGTTATCTCGGAATTAATTAACTAGTTAATTAGTAATCTGAGAATAAGAATAATTAAAATGATAAAACCATCAATTAAAAGATAAGAAAAGAAAACTCTAGGGTGGTACATAGTCTCGAATGACCTTTGAAATATTTGACCTATTTTGACACACAACTTGGAATAAGGCTTAGTTTCGGACATTTTTACTTGGTCAGCTTTCAGTATATTTTATTTCTTTGTGGATATTGCTTGTTAAGGTATGAACATATTTTTGGTTAAATCATGTATTTAAAGATGGGTTCCCTTATTTTCATTTATGAAAATGAAAATGTTAATACTTATATGAATAGAAAGTAGAGGTGTTCTAATGACTTGGAAAAATACCAGTTTGTCTCACATGTCCATAATTAATTCATAATTAGCTAAATTAGAAGAGAATAACCAGCAAAATTCCAATGAGTGACCGATCAAGAAAGGTTAAAAAGTCGTTTTTTTTGTTTATCCAGACTGTTTATACATGGACATTTAAGATTGGTTAAAACTCTTTATTATATGCAATAAGAACATAATGATATGATTAAGAATACATGATAGTTCATTAGAAACACTATTAATCACTTAGTTTTCTAATTTGACACTAAAAAATGAGGAAACCCATCTTTAAGTCAAATGCACCAACATGAAATAGCTAAAACTTTTAGACTTCTGGTGTAGTTCTATATGGGCAAATTTTGGAAATGCTGTTATTTTATGTTATTAGAACAATTTTAAATTTTTTGGTGTCAATATTGTGTTGACTGTTGTTGTAGGGGGGGAGGGGGGGGTGGGAGTCTTATTAGGATCTTTTACAAGTTATGTTTGATTTTAGCTATCTCATGCTAAGGGATCTTTTTTCCCATTCAGCTTCTCTTGAAGGTGTAGAAAGTTGACCCAAGTTTGAAACATCTGCCTCTATTCCAGCCTCTGAAAGATATTTTGATATTTATTTGCTGAAAAAGAGTCAGAAAAAGTAGACCTTGTTTAATGGGGATTTTCCACACCTCCAAAAGGTGCGAAAAATTCACATTAAACAACACCTAGTTTTTCTTACTTGACACCAACCAACAACTTCCAAAATATCTTTCAGAGGCTGGCCGACTTTTCTGTACCATGTGGGCTAATGAAGACGGGCAACGCCATGCAGGGTGCGATGAGGGAAATTCCGCCAGTACAGCGGCATTAGCCTGCTCTTTTTCGATTTTCAACTGTCGAGGGATCTTTAACGTGCACAGCCTGTAGCACACGGGGCCTCGGTTTATTGTCCCATCCGAACGACTAGACGCTTTTTCCATGTCAACCCCTTTCACCTGCTTCACTGACAGGGGGAAACCGGGTTGAAAAATCCAAAGGTATTATCTCGACCTATGCCGGGATTGAACCCTGGAACTCACTGAGCCACCGTGGCTTCCTTAAATCAATAGGAAATAAGGATCTCAAACTAAATATTTTATAGTTTCAGTAAAAATCAGAAGAATATTTTCCTTCAACACAATAGGTAGAGATATAATTAAGAATGACATATGCATCTTGAATGATCCTCTCCCCCTTACCAATTCCTTTTGAAAAAAACAGTGCCATTTTGTTACCCCCAACATTAATGTCTAATAGCATGAACAACTCATGATACCTTATATGAATTCAACAGAGATTTTCTAGCCCTTATATCAGTATTTACTGAAAACAAATGATATACATTGACCAAACTTTGGTTCTGTTTATTTTTTAAACTTTCATTTCTAATATAGCCACTTCAGTTAGGGTCTAACAACAGCCCTCTTGATTGTTGTCTAAGTGACCTTTTGAGCTAACCTGATAAACATCATGTCACAAAATGCCAGTGCTGTAGAAGGTAGAATTTTTATCAGTTAAAGCAGACGTCATCGTGTTAGGTCAAAAGGTTAATTTGACGAATGTTGAAGAGGGCTGTCATTAGACCCTAACTGAAGTGTCTATATAAAAAATAAAAATATTGGCCAAACATGATCCACAGGCTTTGGAAAGGTATTTGGAATGATTATAATAGAAGCTATCCCTGAAACACATACAAAGTCCAGAAAATCTTTTTGAATTGATCTGTACCAGGGGTTTATATCAAAATCATTGTTTGCATGAAGGTTATGATTATAAGTTTGTATGTCAAATAACAAATAATTTTCATCATTTGTCACCATTTTTATTACAAGATGATCATGTTTCACAATAAGCTCAAAAGTTGAAATGATCCAGGGATTGTAAAGAAGTTTTCTAAATTTTTAATGTGTATTTGGGACACTGATAGCATCAATTTGCACCATTCCATACTTCAATCAGATGTCTGTGGTTCCTGAAATTCCACTAAAACTAGGTATCACTGTCGCACATTAGAATTGCAAGAACCACAGACATCTGACTGAAAATTTGAATAATGCAATAATAATGTTCCAAATACACATGAGAAATTTAGAAAACCTGTTTAGAATCTCTTTAATCTGATGGCTTTGTCAAAGATTGTTGTTGGAAGCCACCAAAAAGGGTTGAATTTATAGCTAAGTAGTGTTCCAGCAGGTTTTTGTACCTATGTGTTACTATAAGTAGCTATGTGTTACTATAAGTAGCTATGTGTTACTAAAATTAGCTATGTATTACTATAAGTAGCTATGTGTTACTATAAGTAGCTGTGTGTTACTGTAAGTGGCTATGTGTTACTATAAGTAGCTATGTGTTACTATAAGTAGCTATGTGTTACTATAAGTAGCTATGTGTTACTATAAATAGCTATGTGTTACTATAAGTAGCAATGTGTTACTATAAGTAGCAATGTGTTACTATAAGTAGATATGTGTTACTATAAGTAGATATGTGTTACTATAAGTAGCTATGTGTTACTATAAGTAGCTATGTGTTACTATAAGTAGCTATGTGTTAGTATAAGTAGCAATGTGTTACTATAAGTAGCAATGTGTTACTATAAGTAGATATGTGTTACTATAAGTAGATATGTGTTACTATAAGTAGCTATGTGTTACTATAAGTAGCTATGTGTTACTATAAGTAGCTATGTGTTACTATAAGTAGCTATGTGTTAGTATAAGTAGTAATGTGTTACTATAAGTAGCAATGTGTTACTATAAGTAGCTATGTGTTACTATAAGTAGCTATGTGTTACTATAAGTAGCTGTGTGTTACTATAAGTAGCTGTGTGTTACTATAAGTAGCTATGTGTTACTATAAGTAGCAATGTGTTACTATAAGTAGCAATGTGTTACTATAAGTAGCTATGTGTTACTATAAGTAGATATGTGTTACTATAAGTAGCAATGTGTTACTATAAGTAGATATGTGTTACTATAATTAGGTATTTGTTACTATATTTAGCTAGCCTAGACAGACAGCCAGTGATTAGAAGGAGTGAGTCAGCTGATTCTATAGTAGATCTCTATGAAGAGTATGATCGTCATGATTTTTACCGCTGGAGTGATGACAGTAGTATGTTTGCTTACTAATCAAAGTTGTGTGGCACTTAGGGGTTTTCTTTTGCAAAACTTATATCAAGGCTGTTCCATTGTTTTTCCTGAAATTTGTCTGAATAATTTGGTTTTTGAGCAAGAGCTTGCAAAATAATCAGGCATATATGCTTCAATATGTCAAAGGATTTGACAAACCAGCCTCAGTTTTTTTATACAGGGCATTTGTCTTTGATAAAAAAAAACCCAATGAAATGACAAATGGAACAGTCTTCTGCTCACGATTTGAATTTCTGTGTTTTATTTTTTATTTTGATTCCATTGTTTTCCCAATAGATTTTAAAATGGTGATTTAGAAGTTTTCTCCCTTTATGTTGTGTGATTAACAAACTTTATGTGTTGTTACATTTCCAAGATCATGTCATTTGTGTTTTGGACTGCATTACATTTGTGTTTTGGATTTCATTACATTTGTGTTTTGGACTTTATTACATTTGTGTTTTTGTATGGTCCATTTTTTTTTATTTTGTTACATTTCCAAGATCATGTCATTTGTGTTTTGGACTGCATATTACATTTGTGTTTTGGACTTCATAACAATTGTGTTTTGGACTCCATTACATTTGTGTTTTTGTATGGTCCATTTTTTTTTATCTCATTACAATATTTGTGTTTTGTGTTTTATTACATTTATGTTTTAGCTTTCATTACATTTGTGTTGTGGATTTCATGTCATATTTGTGATGGGATTTTTTTACATTTGTGTTGGGGTTGATTGTTTTTTTAACTGTTTGTGCCTATTTTTCTCAATCAAAGTCGCATTTGTCTTTTTGTCGTCTTTTCGGAAAGGCTACAAAAAATGGCTATTTTACTTGTGGAAAATTGATTTTTGTAACTTATTGCAAGTTGATATTTTCATGTATATATTTTATATTTTTGATATTTTTTTGTTATTTTTATATTATTTTATGATATTGTCATGTTATTTTTGATATTTTCATGTTATTTTTGTTGTTTTCAGGGCACGTAAGATCAGCTAGCAACACATCCAGTACACCAGGTAACCAACACTCCTCCAATCTTAAACGTTCCTCGTCACTAGAAGATCTAACTGTTTCAGATTCCAAAATGGAGGACAAAGACAGCCCAAAAACTGGTCGCCCCATTCACCGACCTCGTGCATGTAATGAAAGTTTCCGAGCAGCCGTCGACAGATCCTATGAAAGTCAGTCGTCCCAACTGACTCCGTCCATGGATACACGTAAGATTTGGCAACTATCCAAATATATAAACCAACTATTACCATATATACTCACTGCAAATAATTTCATTGGCTGTCGCAGTATTACCCAGCATTCATTGCTGTCTGTCACATTTCCTGTTGTGTATCGAGTTGTCAATGTGCCTATTTCGGTGGATTCAGAAATCCACAATCCAGTGTTTTATCATCTGTTGAAATACAGTTCTAGCTCTTTTGTTTCATTTTTTTCTGTGGGTTACTTTACTCATTTTTGATCTAACAATTTTCTTTTTGAAGTCAGTGAAGCAAAGTTTGATGAAGCATTCGGCACAATAATATATGCAAATTTAACAAAACCACAACAGTAATTTCTGAATCCACCAATGATCTTTAATGCAAACATGAAAACCAAACTCACAGCGTAGCGTTTTAATTGTATGTGCACTACTAACTGCATGTGATGCTTTATATGTTCATAGTTTGTTTGTATTTATATTCACATTTAGTTATTTTTTTTATATTTTTGAATTGTATTTATGCACCAGAATTCAATTTAAAGTGATACTACATCTTAGAATGAACATAAAATTTAGGTTCTCGAAATGGTCAATATGAGTATATATTCATCAGTGAACTTTCCTGGTGTCATAAAGTTACAACAGAATCCCTGTAAAATCTGGAAAATTGGAAAATTCATAAAACTAAGTAATTATTGAAAAACTCTTAATCTTGATATTAAACGTTTTTCAATAGTTAATTACATATTTATGGATAATTACTAAGTTTTTTTGATTTATCGGATTATATAAGGATCCTGTTATGTTATTTATGACACCAGGTATATCTACTGGCTCTTATTGGCCAAGTTTAAAATTCTTCAATTTTATGTTCATACTAAGGTGTAGTATCACTTTAAGCCATTTTGCAATGCATGTAACGACTCAAAATGACTTCTTGTGTTATCCAATAATATTTCCTATGATTAGCCAAAAAGGTAGAAATCAGCTTAGCCGTGATATGCTAAAAATAGAACACACGTATGACTTTAGTAGGACGAACCACTCTTACAACTGTTAAAGTTATCATGTTATCATGTCATGATACACAAACCACCTCTATGACATCATGGCCTATTAAAATTCATCACGACGATCTGTGAATCAAATCAAACTGTTTATTTTCCGTGAATTACTTGCACTCACTCATTCACTAACTCAATTCATTCACTCACTCATTCACTTACTCATTCACTCACTCACTACTTGTAGGTACTTGCATGCTTGTCACTTATGCGCCAAAATTGTTTTTTTTTTCAAACTTTTGGTGTATTTTCATCTTTAGGAGAAAAAGGAAGGTACATGATTTGTGTTAGTATATTCAAGCAAACTTATCTTAAAGACTTTGAACTATTTGATTAATAGTGTTTCTAATGAATTATCGTGTGTTCTTAATCATATCATTATGCTCTTATTGTATATAATCAACCAATCATTTTATGTCCATGTATATACAGTCTGAATGCACAAAAAAGACTTTTTGACCTTTCTTGATCGGTTACTCATTAGAATTTTACTAGTAATTCTCTTCTAATTTAGCTAATTATGAATTAATTATGGACATGTGAGACAAACTAGTATTTTTCCAAGTCATTAGAACACCTCTACTTTCTATTCATATAAGTATTAGCATTTTCATTTTCATAAATGAAAATAAGGGAACCCATCTTTAAATATATCGTATATATATTTATATTGAGTTATGTGGTACATTTTAGAGGAGGTTACCCATGGCAGCAATTTCCATAGACATGATCTCTATTTAACCTCTATATCTATCTTACAGTAGAGGAAGAAGGAACAGAGAGTGAAGCATTTAGTCATGGTACATCTGGTAATTCAGCTCGCTCCTCAATGAGCAGTGAAAGCACAGTAGATGACCAGGGCCGCAGCAAGAAAAAACCTACCAAGGAAAAGAAATCTGGTGGCATTTTGAAAGGATTTTTAAGGTAGGAATGATCATCAGTAAACTGCTGTGTCATCTAATTCTAATGAATTTTGTTGCTTAAAGGTGCCAAGTGTTTAAAGGGACAGGTATTTCCATCCGTTTGACCGATCCTACCTTAGCACTATAACCATCATACAGTAGGAAATAAGGAAAGGCCAATACATCTTGATAATCTGGCGGCTTCACAGCCCCGTCTATTTCCTTTCTTATGGAGACAAGCAGTGTCATAAACTGTCCACAAGCACCATTTGGCTTACTTTCTGGGAATTTCTGCTCTCAAGAGCGGACAGCAATCACAGCATACATATTTTTTCGAAACTTGCTTATATTCATGGGAGCCGTGGTGGCTCAGTGAGTTAGACGCTTGCTCGCTAACCTGAAGGTCCAGGGTTCAATCCCAGCATAGGTCGAGATAATACCTTCGGATTTTTCAACCCGGTTTCCCCCTGTAAGTGATGCAGGTAAGAGGGACTGACATGGAAAAAGTGTCTAGTCGTTCGGATGGGACAATAAACCGAGGCCCTGTGTGCAACAGGCTGTGCACGTTAAAGATCCCTCGACAGTTGGAAATTGTCCTGGCAAAATTTAAAAACTCCATTCATTTCATTTCATTTGCTTATATTCATTCCACCACCTTTTTTTAAGCTCTTCAAATTTTAACCCATCTATTTTGACAGGTTTGGTAGAAAGTCAAATGAAGAAGCACGACTGAGGTCAAGGTCATGTGAACGACCTTCAACTGATGACAGTGAGAGTCACCAGCTTCAGAGAGAACAAGCATGGCAGATGGCTCAAAATGAAAAACTAAGGTGAGCTTGGTAATTTGGTGATTACAACTTGTCTCATTAGTGTCTATTAGTAGTAAGATAAGACTTGAAACAAAATGGATTTTTTAACATTCTGACCAAAGTGGACAAACAGCAGACAGACTTGCAGTGCCATGGAACAATCATTTGACATGCTTAACTGAACCTTAGACCAAGAGTGTGTTTCACAAAAGATACTATTCAGATTTTAAGAAATACTGCTTACTGATTGGTTTAAAAAGCTTTTGATTTTAGTGATTGACAGGTGACAGGTGACTGGAGCACTGAAATCATCTTAAATTAGGATTTTGTCCAACAGGCTCCTGAAGGCTTGTGAGTTTCAGGTATCCAAAAGAGAACATCCTCAAAACCTAAATGGCAAAATGTAAGTTTTTCTGTAATTTGTGTTTCTACTTAGGTTACAACAAGAACAGAGACGTTTACAACAACAACAAGCAATAGAGACTCATCGAGCTCAACAACAACAACAACAACAACAACATCAGACGACGAGGGATGACGTTTACTCTCACAACCAATCAGATCCGAAACACTCTGAAAATTTCACCAATAAATTCGACCAAAGTGCTCATCAAAAAATATATAGCAATAATAGTGACATATATGGAGGGAAGCAAGGAGTATATTTACAAACAAGTCATCCTGATATGTATGGTTCCAAAAATATCCCTTCGTTATCCACTCAGACACAAGTTCATTTTAACTCCTTGCCTCGTCCATCTTCAAAAACAGACAAAATACAGCAGTTACGTGCTGAACATCAACGTAAGCATCAAGATCGTCAAGGTCATTATCCACTAGATGCAGCAGAAGAATATTACGAAAGACGAATTATTGAAGAAGAACGAAGGGTAATCTCAATTTTTATTTTCCAAATTCCCCCAAAAATACAAAATTGTTGAAATTGCAAACCTTTTTGTGTCAAAAATATATTGATTGTCTTAAATCGAAAGTGTGACATTGTAGTCTACCAAATTTGAGGCCCTGCCCAGTTTCTTCGACATGATATTTACATGTTCCTTTAATTTCATACATTTACCTTTTTATACGCCCACATCTCTCTATGTGGACGTATATTGTCGGCACCCCTGTCCATCCGTCAACATTTGATTGCAAACGCTCTAACAACTAGATTTTTTGATGAAATCAAATGAAATTCGGTATGTGTATACATATTCATAAAACGAAGATCAATTTCGAATTTGAGCTATTTTCGATTGTTAGAAGCAGAGTTATTGCCCTTGCACCAAAAGGGTGTGCCAGTCCCCCCTGAAACATTTAGATGACTTAAAATACTTGTTGAGTCACTATAGTTGAGCCCCCCTTCAAAAAATTTGGCAACCCTCAGACCCTGGGCTGGATACAGGCCTGGCTCTACTATAATGAAATATATTGTTTTTTCAGCGGTATAACAGATCTGGAAGTGACAGTCAAACGATGTATATACGACCTTCCAGTAGAGCTCAATCTGGGGAAAGGTAGGTTTTTCAGTCAACATGAAAATAAGCATTCGTACATACAGCGGCCATTGTCTGACAATAACCTCGTATACAGCTGAAGTGAAAATCTTCTTACATTCGCGTTACAAAATATAGATCGTCATATGTTAGTTATCTCCCTTGAAGACTAGTCACAGTGGGGAGAAGTCTGGGTGTATGGAGACAAAAATCAAGCTTATATTTGAAAATAGTTCGATTTATCAGTCAGCTGCATATAAGGTTATTATCAGGCGTAGCAAGAATTGCCGACTGACTTATTTACGATTGATGAAAATGTATGAATAGTTATTTAGACAGGACAATAAACTGAAGCGGTTTCAGTGATGAAAGTCAGGGTGGTTGAAATTGTAAAAGATTACGCTAATGTTATTGTGTTGCATAATTTTCCTCAGTGTGCATTGCATTGTTTTCATTGGCCTGATGAAATACAGAAGAATAGGACTGTATATTTGGAGCAGACGTTATTTTATATTTTGGTATTCTATTTTTTTCAATCAGAAAAGATCATTTATTCTGATATACATGTTGTTATGAACACAATTATATGGATAACAATTACTTTAATAAATAACTTGCGACGTTTGGTCTGTATCAAGCAATGCATACATGTGTAATCTACCGATGTGCATTGTTATTTTGTATTATTGCTTGATAAAGACGAAAGTATCATCGTCGAAACATCGCAAGTTACTTATTTGTTAATTGTTATCCATAAAATTGTGTTCATATATCCACACCTCAATTACTAAATGCCACTTAAGGATGGTTACATGTTGTTATTAAAATGTTCAGGTCTAATATTGAATTTTTAAACTTTCAGGCCCAGTAATAGACACAGTCCTAATTTTATGTCTGGGGCCACAGAATACAGCCCGCACCCCAGCCTTAGTGATGATTCAGAATACACACGGACCTCGGGTGTTTCCAATAAACAGCCATTATATAATCATAGTTCACAATATCTTCAAACAAGACCGGCTTCACGAGGCTACCCAGAACAATCTCACGGTTACCCTACAGAGTTTCGTCCGGATCAACCCAGACCGTTACGGAACTATTCTTCTGAGCAGCCGTTACAATCGCGAAATTATCCATCAGATCAGTGGTATCGCCAGCAGGACTCAGACAACAATACACGTCACATGCAATATCGTTCTGAGTCAGCGCGAAATGTGAAACAATATTATAATGATCAACCGTCAAGTTATCGAGATCGGGGTGGTTATCAAGTGTATAATGGACGACGTGTGGTCCAATCTATGGCTGACCCAGGCTCAGCTAAAGTATGACTGTTCTATTTTTGATTTGTGTTTGTTTTTGTTCATTTTATTACTGAAATAAAAAAACAGAATGAGGTTCTCTTTGATCCTTTCTATCAAAACTTACTGTTTATCAAACAAGTTGTGTAATGTTATTAATTGAGTTTTAGTTTGATAAAAATGAATATTGAATATGATAATTTCAGCATAAACTATTTCAATGTCATAATACGGTTGATTGAAAAAATAAAAACGTTTTAAAGGTATACTACCTCTTAGGATGACCAAAAAATTGAAATTTTTTAAACTTGGCCAAAATAAGTCTTTATTCATCAGTGGACTTACTGGTGTCAGAACTATACAACAGAATCCATTTATAATCCAATAGATTCATACAACTAAGTAATAATCCATTAAACTAAGTAATTTAGAAACATGATTAATGTTTTTCAATAATTATTTAGTTTAATGGTATATGGTCTTATATAGAGATTCTATTCTTTAGTTATGACACCTGGTAAGTCCAACTGATGAATATATACACTTGTTGACCAATTTGAAACTTCAAATTTTATATCCATTCTAAGTGGTAGTATTCATTTAAGTAATTAGTCCGAAACATCTGCCACTATTCCAGCCTCTGATGGATATTTTGACAGTTGTCAGCTGGAGTAGAGTCAGAAGAAAAAGACCCTGTTAAATGGGGATTTTCCACGCTTCCAAAGATGCGTTTTCTCTAACATAATATTGAATTACCTTTAAGTGTCACTTGACTCTGTGAATTTTGAACTTTTGGCTGCGCAGGCAGTTTTAAATGCTAGATCAGATTCGCCAAAAAAACTTTGATAAAACCGAAGACATGATATAAATGGTGTAGGGAGAAAATGATGGTATGACAGAACTACAAAAATATTCATCTTTCAAAATATACCTGGGCTTTGCAGATTCGAGGTATCTAAATTGGGTTAAAACGCTCGCACCTGCAGAGATGCCGAATGTCCCCATTTAACAGGGCTTATTATTTCTGTCTCCACACCAGCTGACATCTGTCAATATAGCTATCAGAGGCTGGAATAGAGACAGATGTTTCAGTCTACGAAGTCATTTGCTCAAGCAGTTAGGCCAAGATATACATGTACATCTGGTGACAATTCAAAACTTATCAGTCTACTGTATTCTGACGTCATTTGGTTCCAAGTAATATTTGTCATACCTCAAAACAAAATGGACTATTCCTCGAATGTGCATGAATATATGTATGTCAAAGTAGAGATATTTGTCCTCATCTGAATATGCTTCATGAGTAGTTCATTTTATTTTTTTAGGGTAGCATAGGTATTAATGAAAACAATTGTTTCAATACCTATTTTATTCTACCATAGAATAACTGGTTGTACAATAATTTCAATAACTACTTACTCTACCCTTGAAACAAAGTGGACTGATCTTGATTATGTTCCAGATGTGCAGAGATATCTTTGTCCTTTACACTGTTATATATTTGATTCCACTTTGCAATGGTTGTGTTGTTTACCGAATATACATTATTTAAGCTTAGTAGAGTTTTTGGTTGAGTGTGGTACAAATTTGCTCAAATTTGAACCTATCCATATGATATTAGATTTTGATGGGTTAGGTACACATTTTCTCAAATTGGAACCTATCCATATGATATTGGATTTTGTTGGGTTAGGTACAATTTTGCTCAAATTGGAACCTATCCATATGATATTGGATTTTGTTGGGTTAGGTACAATTTTGCTCAAATTGGAACCCATCCATATCATATGTGATTATGGCTGGTGTTGTTCATTCCTTTTCCTATTTGAATTCATCCATTTAGTCGTGACTATTCCAAAAGTTATCTTGATTGCACTCTACCAAAGTTATTTATGCACATATTAAAGAAATCGCAAAGAAGTTTCTAAATTTATGTGTATTGAGGACACTGATATTTGCACCATTTTAATTTTCAATCAGATGTCTGTGGTTCCTGCAATTCCATCAAAACTAAATGTTTGATTACCTTACTAATTGCGAAATTTGTTTTATCACGTTAAGGCCCTTCGCGATGAGTGATGTCATTAAACACTTAGTTTTAATGGAATTGCAGGAACCACAGACGTCTGATTGGTATTTGGAATGGTGCAAATTAATGCTATCAGTGTTCCCGATACACATAAAAAATTTAGGAATCCCTTTTACTACCGGTACCTGAAAATGAAATGGACTGGTCTAAGATGTGCACTCTAATGTGGTCTGTAATTTAAGATATATAAACATTTTACATTATATGTATAATTCCATATTTTATATATACAAATCATTTGTACATTTTTGTATATTGATACTGGTTGAATACCACTCACATATAAACCCATCCCAAATCAAGTTCATTGGCTCTAAATAAGACTGTTTAAAATTACATAGTTTTGCATTCCTCAGAAACATACTAAATGTGGCGCAGGAAGACCTTGCGACTGACTTGAGTTTGTCAGAGTCTGGTGTGGTTATGTCTATGATTAGTCCGAAACATCCAGCTCTAATCCAGCATCTTGTGACAATTATCAGCGGGAGTAGTCAGAAAAACTAGGCCCTCTTTAATGGATATTTTCCACACCTCGAAGATGCGTTTATTCGAACATAATATTAAATACCTTTACGATGACTGTAAATAAGTTTTGGACCTAGTTTTTCTGTCTCTATACCAGCCGACAAAATAGCTAACAGAAGCTGGAATAGGTGCTCATGTGGACTGCAACTGAATTAGTGTTATCCATACAATTACTAAATGCCACTTAAGGAAGGTATCATAAACATTTTTAGATGGAATTTATATATAGATATTGTTTATCTTGTTGTTTATAATTGTATATATTGTTTTCACCATTTTACATACAAATCATATTAATATTTGACTATATCTATGTGTACTATTTCTGAATCTTGTTTTCAGTGAGACAAGGGAGCCACGGTGGCTCAGTGAGTTAGACGTTTCCTTGCTAACTTGAAGGTCCAAGTCCAGCATAAGTCGAGATGATACCTTCGGATTTTTCAACCCGGTTTCCCTTTGTCAGTGATGCAGGTAAGAGGGGCTGACATGGAAAAAGCGTCTAGTCGTTCGGATTGGACAATAATCCGAGACCCCGTGTGCCACAGGCTGTTGACGTTAAAGATATCTCAACAGTTGGAAATCAAAAAGAACAGGCTAATGCCGCTGTCTTCATTAGCCCACGCGGTGCAGAAAAGTAGGACGTAAAACTCCATTCATTTCATTTCATTTTTTTTTCCGTGAAACAATTTCGAAACACCTGATGACACTGTGTTACTGGGCTTGTCAACTAAACATCTTTCTTCAATGTTGCATGTTCAAGTTTTTAATCTATTGCATACGTCTGATTGAAAATTAGAATGGTGCAAATTGATACTATAAGTGTCCCCGATACATATAAACCTCTGTACAGTGTCCCCGATACATATAAACCTCTGTACAATATTTAATATGTAAATGTATTGGTATCATGATGGGGAATTCTTACTCTTCATGGAGTTTAAATAACTGAAGATGTTAAGTAATAACGTTTATTAAGCTACCTACATTTATAATATATTTAATATTTATTATATTCTTAGTCGAGCACAGTTATTTGTGCAGATCCAGAGGGATTCAAAGCATAACGTTATTAGAGGTAGTTTAAGTAGTAATCAACACAACGTAGGTCCGACTAATACTATATCAATTACTATTTATTTTCCCTGTAAATAAAATACACTGCTCTCGTCTACGGACTAATAAAATTAAGCATTTTTTTAAAAATTAACATTTTGCTTCAAATTGAGAATCTTTTTACGATCTATGCGGAAGCACACTGTGTTGATGACGTTCCTTTAATGTCCCATCTCTGAGTTGATTAACCCAGTTGAAAGAATGGCATCAGGTGTTCCTGCCTCGAAAGCGACACCTGTGTATCTCGTCGAGCAATGAGCAATTTGACGTTAATGAATGAATGATTTTGGGCATGGGGTATTCTTGGTTATTAGAGAATGATATGTAATATTCCTGCACTATAATTACTTCACGAAGTCTGGAAGTTCTTTGAGATGAAATCGCCATTTTTGCCATTGTGTGCCCCGACATTCCGCCATAATAAAATGATCGTTGTTTTTCTTCAAACTGGGCTGCAGGCACAAACCAGTAGAAGGGTTCATTAATGTTCGATCCTGAAAGAAAACAAGGAATTACTAGCATGGATCCAGACAAAACAAAGTTTTAAAAATTCTAATTTTCAAGGCATTATACCTTGAGATCTTAACAGAACAATATTAGGATTATACTGACAGTGCAGTGTATTCCCCCCCCCCCCCCTCCAATTAATTCGATGGCTCCTGAATAAATTCTGACAACTTAACACTATACACCATTGCCATCATACATAATACCCAGACAAGGGAAGAACTTGATAACTTCAGTGGTTGCGGTTCGGACTTCGAGATTTATCCAAACCGCCCGACTTACCTCTTGGTACACCCATTCCGGGTTACCCGTACATCTAATAGCTACCCTCGGTTTATCGACATTGACACATAAAAACGTCTTAGCTGACTGCCGAATTTGACCTTTATTTGTCAGTTGCCAAAACTGTTGAAATAAAAATTGAAATATATTTAGTTTATCCGTAGATATTCTAGTTGTCAAAATCGGTGCTCGACGTACACAAATATTTCGTTACGTCACCGAAATTAACTTTCCGTAATGTGAAAATTAACGTAATTGCAGACGAAATGGACGTTGATTTTGCGACTGGAAAGTGACTGCAGTAGTCTAGATTAAAGTGAGCTTTTATCATTCGGTAAACAAGCTATATCTTGATGACAATATTTCTAATAAAGATGGGTTTCCTTGTTTTTTAGTGTCAAATTAAGCAAACTATTTGATTAATTGGTGTTTCTAATGAATTATCATGTATTCTTAATCATATCATTATGTTCTCATTGCATATGATTAAGAGTTTTAACTAATCATAAATGTCTATGTATGTACAGTCTGGATAAAAAAAAAAAACGACTTTTTAACCTTTCTTGATCGGTCACTCATTGGAATTTTGCTGGTTATTCTCTTCTAATTTAGCTAATTATGAATTAATTATGGACATATGAGACACACTGGTATTTTTCCAAGTCATTAAAACACCTCTACTTTCGTTTTTTATAAGTATTAGCATATTTTTATAAATAAAAAAAAGGGAACCCATCTTTAAAAGGCAAATAAAATGATGAACATTGAAACCGAATGTAACAAATTGGCTCCAGTAAAACTAGAGTGTACCCAAATGTACTAAAAACAAACCTGATTATAACCCTTATGATGACAGGCACCAAATCTCAATAACTTCTGATCTCCGTAAGAATCTACACATTTAGCATGGCCGTCATTTACTAACTGTAACATAATTGGACACATTGTTTCAAATTTTGCGAAACATTAGCATATTGTGTTACGGGCACAAACTTGAATGAAAAAGAGGGAGGTGTGTAGCACAGAATGCTTGAAATCTTATGACGTCATGTGCAAGGTTTCAAATCCCGAAGTTAAAAAATCGCCAGGATGAGGTATCTTTCGTCAAGCCCTTTTCTCCCTTCCGCACATAACCGCAAGACTGGTCTACCCAATCAGTACCCCAGTAAGACCCCCCACCCCCTCCACTTATCATTAGATAATAATGAAAAGTTTTATTATACCTCGCCTGATCTAATTGCGTCATTCTGTAGAGCCAGATCTGGGTAGATATTTTCAACATACCAACTAAATGGTTTACAGTTAAGATCCTTCCTTAGTTTCTTTCTTTCAGAGACATCGCCAAAATCTAACTACAACGAGAAAAGTGATAATGAATTTTGGCAGCACCCCTGGTAGCACAGTTACCAGAATTGGTCAGCTTCTCACAGCCAGAAAGGGGGGGGGGGGGCTCTTATTAATATAGACTACTACCAAGAGTAGTGACCATTTTTCACTGGGGTAACCTTTAACCTCTCAGAGTCCACATAATTGTAAATATTTTGTACACCCTTTAACGCAGTCGTGCGATAACAAAACCCCTTTTTACAAAATGGTATGGTCCAAAACAGATTTGAGGTTTATAGGAAATGACGTCATATAACAAGACGTCAACAAGGACGATTTTTTTTTTCAGTGCGAAAACCTTTTCGTCTTTGAAAATGAACGAGGAAGGTATTAAAAGCGCTGATAAAAGAGTATTTTTAGCAACACAATGACGTTTCCTGTATTGGTAAGTTTATTTCATTGAATTCTGTTTTTGAGGCATGTATTTTTATATGGAAACATTTCGATAAAAAAAAAGTGAAAACATTCGGCGACACCCGCCACTTTCCTTTGGAGAACGTACTTCCGTCATTTTGGTGTATCTCCAGCATTACAATTCCATCATAGAAATGCAATACAGTAACTATGGTTCCATTTTGGCATTATGAAGACCAGAAACGCCACGCGGTGTGAAATGGAGGTAATACGACAGGAAAGTGACATTGTCAGATTAGCCTACTCCTTGCATTTTCCAGCGACTGATAGATGGATCCTTTTGCTAAGCTTGAAGCACATTCGGCCTCACGCCATACCAGCGGAATTGGACCAGTTTTCCCGAGAGCTGCATTTAAAGACAAAAGTCCCGAATGTACAAAATGGTAAGCCTACTTACTAAATCATTGTTAATTCTTTCATAATATTTGTACTTGTATTCGTCCATCCAAACTTCCGCTACCCGGATAGAATTCTTCCTGGCCACGTCCCCTCCTCCGGGCCATGTTATAGGGTTCTTCTTTCTGAACACGTGACCTACATTTGAACATGGGATAACCTCTACACTACCATTACACATCCATGCCTTGAAAAATTATTAAAAAGAAAACATATTTAGTCTACTGTTATAGTCCAAGAAGCCTACCCAAGTTCTATTTTCTTGGCGGTAGTGTGGGGGTTGGGCTTATTTTTTCAAATGTGCTATACAGACCTCTACACCTAACGCATATTGGTGAAGCGGATGCCAGAGGAAGAGGCTGGGATGGAATTGAAGGGAGGTGGCCACTATTTAAATCTACGGTTCCTAACTTCTGATACTAGAAGGTCAAGGGATACCCGTGAGCACCCCAGAGGGTACCGGAGCAAATAAGGAGTTGAAACACTCACTCCTTGCGTTCATGCGAAACTCTGTATGGTTCTTACATGGAAATAACACACATTAACGGAGTTCACAATCATTTGGAATCTCTTTCCCGACTTATTAAGTAGAATTATTTCAACATAGCCTTCAAATCATATTTAAAGGTTTAGGTGAGAGTGGTTGTAACAACAACATATAATTGGAATTACGAAAGCACAGGCCGAGGTGAAAATTCAGCTCATTCAACGACAAAATAAAGTACTAATAATGATCATTAGGGTATCAACAGCTTCTAAACGTCGCAAGGGGGTGCGAAAAAGCTGGACAAGGGGATTTTGATATTGACAATCAGTTAAACACACAGGATCTTGGCAATTCTTACCTTAAAGGATAGTTCCATATTTTCCCCACCCCAGTAATCGAGGCCAGGGTCGTAGGTACCGATACGTTTGAAATATTCTCTGTCTATTGTGAATAATCCACCAGGCATCGTTGGTGATCTGAAAAAAAGTAACCAAAAGACATTTTACCAGAGAACTGTCAAACAAGGCTACTATTTCAAAACTTATTGGGACTTTCAAGCCTAGATGGATTATTTTTTGACGGCCATCACTCCTGTATTCACACTAATCGGTAATCGTTATTATCTATCACGGGCTGCAGCCGGACGTTCTTAATCTTGATAAAATATAGCTGTTGATATTTCGTTTCGGTTCTATAATTAATATAAATTTGATTTACTTAAAGATGAAATAAAAATGTTTTCATAGTCAAAATTTAGAAATGTATAAATATCTTGGTGCAAAATAATCAACCCAAAACCACCAAAACCGAAAAACCATTAATAATACATAGGGCCTAAGGGCATTTTTAGATCTGTTAAGGGTCGAGAGTCAGTCTTTATATCTAATCAGTGAGCAGCAGCTCAATGCCCATGTACAGTTCAAGTTTAAGATTAATGTTTCGAAACTGAGTAAACTGACAGATAAAATGATTTGGGCATACCTAATGTCGAAACTGACTTGAAACCCTATAGACCTTAAAGGTTTACTACGTCTTAGAATAAACATAGAATTTAAGAATTTTAAACTTGGCCAATAAGAGCCAGTAGATATACCTGGTGTCATAAATAACATAACAGGATCCTTATATAATCCGATAAATCAAAAAAACTTAATAAAAATGCAATTAAATATTAAGAATAATTAGTTAGTTTTATGAATTTTCCAATTTTTCTAGATTTTACAGGGATTCTGTTGTAACTTTATGACACCAGGTAAGTTCACTGATGAATATATACTCATATTGACCATTCTTGAGAATTAAATTTTATGTTCATTCTAAGACGTAGTATCTCATTAAGATGAGTAACAAGTTTACCAAAACCAAACTAACATAAACCACACCCATGACTGCTCTCAAAACCATCTGATAGGAATGAACATGTAAGAGAAGGATCCAGTTCCGGTCGTGAATGGGGTGGGGTAGGGGTTAATGGTAAGGATGTTTGGGACAGAGACAAGACTGCCAGCCAAAATTCTTTATTCCAAAGGAATAAAGCAAAGGAAGTTAACCAATCCCAAAGAGATTGGAATCGAACCTGATTGCGGCAGTAGGATTATCAGATCGGGCCACATTTTTCCAAATGAAGGTCAAGCTCCTAATGTCCAATATACCAACGGATAATTGGATATAGCCCTTGGTATAGAACGTATCATCGTGAATCATATTAATCATAGGGAAAACCACATGTGTGGGGTCTTCGTAGATTCTTTCCAAGAGAGGCTCGAGCCAACCTACAAAAACATTTCCAATAAGCATGATAATGATAATGTTATGTGAGATTCTTTACTATGGGGTCTTTGGATTTTAGTTCAAACCGACTTGGAAATACACTAGGGCTGCAACGATTCTTGAAGTTGCGATTCGATACACTATACGATATTCATCCAACGATACGATTTATTGTGATAATTATCGCGATTCATTGATTAGAAGAAGGACAGAGAAAAAATAGTACAAATTTGTAAAATTACTAACAAGTTTGTCAATATTAAGCACTTGAGAACATTTAGCAGTAAAGTAAAATATATCTCAATTTTTAATGTCAGAAATAAATTTTTGCAAATTTTGATGTGAAAATCATACTTGGAAAATGAAAAAATGACACAATTTCTTATACACACAAGGATTCTGTTGGTTTTTAAAATGGTCTAAGAATTAATCGTGCCGATGCATCACGATTATTTTTATCCAACGCAATGTATCGATGAGAAGAAAAGAAGCACTGTTCGTCGGTGAATCTTTGCAGCTCTAACATACACAGTGATTGATGATAATTTTTCAATACCTCCGTGTATATATTAAAATTGGTATTTTGTGGACTGCCGCCGATATCGGATTTTTTAGGGTGGTACAAAACAATGTGAGGGTGAGGGATATTAATTGGGGGATAAGTTTTAGTTCACCAAAACCAATTATATTTACAGTTTTGCTATATTCCTACTCATTGGCTGGGGCAAAGGATTCTAACCTGACAGCATCTGTTGGTTTTAATTTACTTTTGATGCTCTCTGGAATATATCTCCAACAAAATTGTAAGCTGGCTATATCAAGACCCCCATGAGAGAAGAGGGGGCCATAATGAGTACTAAAGTTGGCATCGTCGATATTTGCAATGGATGGAAACACTACGTGATTTGGCTCCTGGAAAATCCGGAATAAGATCGGTTCTAGCCATCCTGGAAGTTAAAAGAATCGGGAAAGCTTAAGGTGGCACTATGTACATTTTGTGGTTTGTTCTTCAAGGTACAACGTTGAGCAGGTGGCGCCCACGTGCCATAAGGACCGCAAACCAAATTTTTCAGTTAGAGTGTCGTGTCAATTGACTGTTTTTTTGTCAGTAACAATTGGACTTTTTGATCAATGGATTGATTTAATTCCATTTATATTCGATAACATAGTTGCCCCCTTTAAAGATGGGTTCCCTTATTTTCATTTATGAAAATAAAAATGCTTATACTTATTTGAATAGAAAGTAGAGGTGTTGTAATGACTTGGAAAAACACCAGTTTGTCTCACATGTCCATAATTAATTTATAATTAGCTAAATTAGAAGAGAATTTCCAGCAGAATTCCAATGAGTGGCCGATGAAGAAAGGTCAAAAAGTCTTTTTTTTTTATCCAGACTGTAATACACAGACATTTATGATTGATTAATTTTTAGGACTTTGGAACGGACGGCACTCTTTTGGCGATAAGTTAGATACTTAAGGGAGGTCACATTTATAACGTACAATATGGGCTTTAAGTTTACAGACACACCAGAGAAGATTGATGACCATGAGGGTGAAAACTGTTAAAGAAAAGGCAGATGATAGAAGAGTTTTAAACTAGTCTACTAGAAGAACAGAGAATGCAAAGGTAGGGATAAAATTCAAGAAGAGAGTTGAATTAAACTTTAATGTGTTCGGACATGATATCTGAGAGTTGTCGAACCTGATGGCGTCTGTTGGATTCCAATATTTCCTTACTCTCTTGTCTATCGGTTGCCAAAGAAAAGTCAAGGAGCGCATGTCAAAGATTCCTTGGTGAGTTGCGATGCTTGTTCGAGTAAAAAATGTGTCAGCGTTTATGTCCTCAATGTTGGGAAAAACAACATGGCGGGAGTCTTCAAAGATTCTAAATACCAAAGGTTCCAGCCATCCTATAACAGAGGAATTCCATTTATTACAATATATGTCGCCACGGTTCGTGCTTTCTGTTCAACTAACGCATAAAAGAAAATTACTATAGTCCTATGATATAATATTTGATAATCATTATGATTTGTAATTACTCGACCCGTGCTTCGGGGGCCGCGGTGGCTCAGTGAGTTAGACGCTCGTTAACCTGAAGGTCCAGGGTTCAATCCCGGCATAGGTCGAGAGAATACCTTCAGATTTTTCAACCCGGTTTCCCCCCGTCAGTGATGCAGGTGAGAGGGGCTGACATGGAAAAAGCGTCTAGTCGTTCGGATGGGACAATAAACCGAGGCCCCGTGTGCACGTTAAAGATCCCTCGACAGTTGGAAATCGAAAAAGAGCAGGCTGTCCTGGCAAAATTTCTCTCATTGCACCCTGCATGGCGTTACCCGTCTTTATTAGCCCGCATGGTGCAGAAAAGTAGGACGTAAAACTCCATTCATTTCATTTTCGACCCGTGCTTCTGGTATTCGGAATCTGTTAAATTAACGCATCCAAAGGAAATTCCTGCAGTTCTGGTATATTTGTACGAATTAAATATTCTAATTCTAATGTCATATGTGGGCGAAACTAGAAATCTGCTCAATTGATGCATCTCATGAAATAAATGATCTACATATCTTGGCAGCCGTATCAAAATGATAACGTAAATGACCCCGTAAAGAAAAAAGGAGAGGGTGCAGTATTAGGAATGATCAACCTTCTGTACTGTGAATGAAAGGGATATAAATGTCTTTATATATAACTTATGGTATCTTTACCATAAGTTCCAAATGAATGTTGAATGTAGGTGTAGGTAAGGTGGTGCTCCCTATATTAATGGATACCGAGAAATACCCACTTGGAATCCCAGAGAATCATACTTTATTGGATCAACGTCCGATTTCCGGTGATAAGCAACATTTTTTTCATCTAAAAACCAAGTCACCAATGGAGAAAACTCCATATTTAAATCTCAGTGCTGTTGAAATCTTAAAATTTGTGTTATATATGCGAAATATGCTGGGAAAAACAACATTGCGACTGTCTTCTGCTATACGAGCTAACAGTGGTTCAAGCCAACCTACAAATACAAGCAAAGGAACACAAAAGTTCTTAAAGGAACACAGGCGTCTGATGTTGGCTTCGCTACCTGAGGATTTCAGCTTCCCATACCACTTTTCAAATATTGTATTGATTGGGTTGCTGGATCCAAAGCATACAAAAGGGTAACTGGGGTTATCAGGAGTAATTGACTCGGAATGATCAAATAGAAATGGGCTACGTCTGGATGTTGCCTACTACCAGGTAAGCTGGCCCCTGGTCCAAGTCTGTTTAAACGACGACCTGGTTGAAACCTTGTTGGTCAAAAAAAAAGCTTGTAATCAGGTTGCTGGCAGGCAATGGAAAGCGCTGACTCTGCTTGACTAAAAAAATGAAGGCCCGTTATAATATAAGATTTGAACGACATATAGAAGCGAGGAGCACATATAACAAAACACAAGACAATACTATTGAATATAACACACTTATGTGCAAGTGTGTTATATCCAATAGTATTGTCTTGTGTTTTGTTATAGCCGTTATAATAGTCTCCGTGGGTAACTAGTGCGATGGAATAAAGAGTAGTCCTACAAAGATGTCCCTCGGGCGATGGCTGGGAATGGGCTAATGTGGGAACCTAGTACGGGGTAATTGACAGAGTATGCTAAGAATGGAAAATCCAGACATGCAATGAGGAATCATAATTTGGATTTCCAAAAGGGTGTAGTAGTAAAATTAAGATGAATTGGAAACCTGATGGGATCGGCCTCGGATTGGCGACGTTGACGTTCAACATCAGGGATGCCTTTCCATGTAAACGTCAGCGACTTCAAAGAAATTCCTCCAATTTTTTCTCGTCGTTGCTTACGGGCCTTAAGTGTGAATGTTTTGGCAGCAATGACTTGGATAACGGGGAATATAACGTGTCCAGGGTCGTCGTAAACTCGAGCTAACAGCGGTTCTAACCAACCTGCGATGTAAAATGTATGGAGTGCGGTTGTGGACTAAGTAATTGGGCGTTCCCGCTTCTTTTTTCCTGTTAGAGAGTCTAAAGAGCTCATAATATTTATTTGGTATTTGAGTTGGTCAAATCGACATCCCGTTTTACAGACAATAACATATGTTGGATATTTAATATTATATGTTGGGAATTTAAGGTTTATCCTCGCGACATTTCTTTGTTTGGTATTCATTGTAATGCCCATTGCATGTATGTTGCATGGGTCTAGTTTGCAAAGCTTGCGTCTTAATGCTATTGTTGCAGCTTTTGATGACTTGCAGACCTACTGGTACGTCTAAATGCTACTGTTGCAGCTTATAGTGGCTTGCTAATCCATTGCTACATCTTAATGCTACTTTTGCAGCTTATAGCGACATGCAAACCTACTGTTGCGTCTTAAGGCTATTGCTGTTGCTAGATCTACTGTTGCGTCCAGAGAAAACTTAGTCAATCGTTACTGTTGACACAGCTTCCAGCGACTACCAACACAGCCGTAAAAGGAGGGTAAAAAATGTTTGTCCTACCTGGAAAGCATTCACAATGGGAGTCCAAGAATGTCACTGTCTTGCTTTTCGATGCCTCGAACCCCAGGATTCTAGCCCTTGTCAGTCCGATTCGTGTTGGAGATCTTATTAACTTGACTTTTTCCAGTTTACTGATGTATCTGTCCAATGGTGCCTTCAGATGCCCTGCAATAGAAAGTTATGTGTGGAATTTCTAGATTAAAATCTGTTTGGTGACTTCTCTTCAAGCCCAAAGATGTCCTGACGAGAGTTCATCACCCGATGCAAGTGTCTACAGAATGAGAATGTCATGGCAATAAAGTGAGAACAACGATGATTTTCTTATAGAGAAAAGCAGATTGTACCAATTGAAAAAGAAAATATTTTGAAAATGAAGACTACTTCCGTTGATAATTGATGACAAACGTGATGTCAGATTTGTGTTTTGATAAGAATTACTGAAAATGAATACTATCAGTAAAATAAAGCGACTAAAGGACATAATGATATACTTACGCATGTCAGATAAGTCATCCACTAGAATTACCTCCCTTAGTAAAGATGGTGGCGATCTGTCGATTACGCTATGAACAGTTCTTAGTAACGTGGACCAGGCTTCGTTATGGAATACTATAACCACACTTGTATCTGGAAGTTTTTCCATCGGATACTTTTTGTTTTTACATCTGTAAGAAATAGTTTCGACATACAACTTACAGCTTTTTACAATTTTGATATTGTTGCTATTAGATCCAGGATTTGCGACAGTGACTTAGAATAAATAACATCATGATTTTGTCAGGTTTTTTACAAAAAAACATTGGCACAGAAGCCAGGAAGCAAACGGGAATAAGGTGTCTATAGGTGTCTTCGATATACCAAGATAAGAAAAAACACCTTGAAACACTTTCATTTGGTTTCCCTCCAAAGGTCACTTTACAGGGAAGGGAATTAACTTCCACCTGGATAAAGAGAGATTGGGCTAACTGGCCAATTCGGCATCCTACATTTCATTCTCTTTAAAGAAGCAGTCATAGTACATGAGTTTGGAATCAACAACGAAATACTTACTCGGGTATTCTGCTGTCATTTAAAGATCTGTGAAGAGAGATCATGTCGCTGGCGTACTGGTTGAATTGATTGTGGGACCAACCAGCATCGAACGTCTTCTTCTGATCTTCAGTCAGGTTGTCCCTCTTGATGTTCACACCTTCTCCTCCTTCACCTATATAAGTCAAAACAGACAAAGCATCAGCATCAAGCAATGCAAATCTCCGAAAAGGTGGTTTCAAGTTCACTCTGCAATCCTTGTCCAAAAGCAGACAGAGCATTTGCATCAAACCATACCACCAGAAAGATGGACCAAGGTTACTTAGTCAATCTCCATCGAAAGGAAGCAAAGAGCAACATAGATAAAGCATTAGCATTAAACCATACAAGCTAAAATATATCATTTATTCTTCGAACTTGAGTCGATCGTCTGTAGTTTACAATTGCAACTAGATCTTTTTTTGTTTCGAGACCCGTAAACAGATGTAACGCTGCGTCTTGCAGGTCTACCACTGCGTCAAGAGATGGTGGCTTGCATAACATTCAATTGTCATTGGAATAATTCATTGTTGAATGAAGTGCCCATCACTCACCTGGTCCATTTTTATCGACAACTTCTTGACCCTCTGCTTTCAAATCTCCAGGGTTAAACACTACGACCTCTTCATTGTCTTCATCTGCTTTCTCGTCGGCCTTCTCAACTGCCTGTCCGCCATCTTTCATTTCTATCAAAGCTTTTCCTGCAGCCTCTTCAGCCTCTTTTACTTGCTCGCGTATTTTTGCTCTTTTAGCCTCGATGTCCTCATCTTGAGCCTCGTTCTTAGCTTCAACAATGTCATTCTGTCTGACCACGTCATTGTGTTCTTCTGCTACTTTATGAATCAACGGTGCAAGGTGATTTTCTCCCCCTATGTCATTTCCGGCTTGTAAGTCTTTGTGATTTTCCTGACCATTTTGATCATTCATGTCTAAAATTTCTTCATTTTTTCCCACTTCCGCTTTAAATTTTTGTACCCCGTTACTGTCCTGGACGTCTGACCCTTTATATTTTGAACGTGAGAAATGGTCTGTAGATTTATCTAGAATTAGGATAGTCACTGCGAGGTAGATGAACCAAATAATAGGAAGAGCGAATATAAATTTAAAACAGAGTTTTGATCTCCGAAATCTCATTTTGACAGGTTTCGTAATTTACGTCTTGTACACTGTTAAAATAAACCTGAATATTTTACACGAAAAGCATTAGATGCTAGCTTGCCATTTTTTTTTAGATTGGAATTTAACAGCTTTTCCACTCTTTTGGTCACTATTTTCTGGTAATGTGGTGGTTGTCCTAATTTGAATGCGTTATTTTACTGCGAAGATGTATCCCGTTTCAACTCTTACCGGCAGTTTTTTTCTACTGAAACACGTTTGCAAAAGACGAAAGTTAGCTTGAGGCCTATCGTTTGACAAATACTGCTTGCTATCTTTAGTAGCGTTTTTTATGATGAGTATATAGTGCTATATCACAAGACGACGGTCGCTTGGTTGTATGGGATAGAAATTGTTATGTTTAGAATTGGGAAATGTCGAAACACGCTAGGGACTGTCTTTATGATATTTCGATGTTTCTTTGTTTACTGATTTTGTTATCTGAAAAATAAGTTTGTAAATTGTTGAATTATAGAGATGATAATTGATTGAAGATGATAATGGTGATGGTGACGGTGATAATAGTGAGGGTGACGGTAATGATTATGATGGTGGTTATGGTGGCGATGAATGTAGTGATGGTGATGATCTCGGTGATGGTGACAGTGATGATTGTGGTGGTGGTGATGTTGATGGTGATGATGTGTATAACTTATTTCATGTCATCAATCCAAAGAGATAGAAGACAAAAGGAGAAAAATGAAATTAGTCCAATAAGAGTTAAATTAGTTTTTAAAACACCAACTAATAATATAAGGTTTAATAAACATTTAAAATAGTTATGGCGTTCGAAGAATTCACCTCAAAATACGTAGGATTGGAGACATATTTTTCTGGATTTTGGAATTTTATTTAGTTGTCACTAATTTTGATGGCCTTGCTAGTTCTCAAAGCGTGTCATATGTTGAAACTGTTTGAATGAAAGAAAGAAAGAATTGATTTTTCTTTTTTCGGTATGTGTTTAAGTAGGTACAGCTGTCGCCGGTGACCGAATAACAGTAAATCGATTTCTTAAACTAACTTCGATGCATTTTTAATGTTGTCAACTTCCATGCTATATTATAATCGATATGTGATATTCATGAACATGCAGATAGGTTGTCAACTTTGAGTACTGTCGTTTTCTTAAAATAAAGGTTGGTAGAGGACATTATTAAAAATATTGGTCCGTTACAGGCATTTAGCAACCTCTAGCAGATACTTAATGGAAGCAGGTGTGCCTTTTTACGGATGGTTGATTGAGTAGTACTAGAAATGTACGAAAGTCGCATAATTCCTTCAAAAATATATCAAACAAGGAATTTTTTTTCCCTATTTCTATAGAGAAAGACAACATGTCTTTTTAACTTTCAAACGCAGATAACTAGTGACAAACGTGGATTTGAAAGCTCAAATTTCGACAGTGGGCTGTGAACACTTACTGATTATATTAGCTAAAAACATTCCCAATTCAGAGTCTAAGGTACGATCGGTAAAAATGTCGCATCTGTCCTGTAATAGCGCCGAAAAAGGGAACAAGCGCTCCAAAGGTTTAATATTGGCAAAAATCAAAAGTAGTTTTACGGCTTACATTCTACGTGTCTAACTCTTGTTTGTACTTGTGATGACTTTCAAAGCCAAGCAGTGTTCAATGCGGGAATGAATTTTGCTCAGACAGCAGCAATGACCCACTAGATTTCCAACTGTCGAGATATCTTTAATAACCTTGAGTTATTCGTCCCATAAATAACGATCTGTAACGATCTTAAAACGTTATTAGAAAAATCTCATACAGCAAAGTAGGCTTATGTTTTAATATGTTTATATCATAGTCGTTATGACACCCTTCTGGTGTTCGAGCGTTTAACTGGACTATTGAAATTAAACAAGAAGAAATTCAACTCACCTTCTTTCGTACATTTCCCTTTCATTTTCACAGAATGTCTTATATTTGTCGAGTCAATACAGTTTTGAGCAACGTGTTATATCAAATCGAACGTGAAATATTATATTCAAATCTGTCGCCACGGCTATCGATTACTTTATACTTGAGTCTAACTTTAATTGTCAGTTCAGAATGGCAATACTTCTTTCATTCATCCATTCCTTCATATATTCATTCATCCATTCATCCATATTATATTCAATCATAAATTAGTGTTAAAAACAATGTCAGCTATTTTTTGAAAAAAAGATTCGTCTACAATAAAATGGAAACTGGCGTCAGTGGTTTGTGTTATGACGGTAAAATTAAATTTAATTAATACTATAAACATTATTAGCAATAAGTTGATGCCGAGTTGACAAACTTACACACTTTATAAATAATCGTAAATATCAGTGTGGACTCTCTGAAAGATCGAGGGTTTTTATGATATGGGATTTTCTTGGAAGGAAATATCAAAGAGACCATTCGATCTCGATCCCTTCATCTCTTAACAATCAGAACCGACTTTCATCACTGAAAACGAACCTCAAGCAATCATCTTCGTTCAATGTGGGTCCACCCTTATCTCATACCAAGGGCTGTCAATGGCTGTCCTCTGTACGGCCTGTTAGCCCTGATTCTTTGACTTTGGATCCGCTTGGACACGGTCTTCCGGTCTGACCCAAAGTATCAACTTGCTGATGACGTGACTGTTAGAAAGGTTCCAGAGATGCAAGGTACGCAACATTGTGTCCAAACTACACCTCCATTCGTCACACTTCCTGGGATTGATAAGACCATGTAAAACCAGTATTCGTGATACGATGGGTACACAAATACAGGTCATCACGTGGTGAGGTTACCCTGATTTGCCTGCTCTCTACTGCAGTGGTGCAAGCATGATGGCTATGTTCTGCAAGATGAGGACCCTTAGTGCACGTGTATTTTTGTGTATCCAAGGATCACATGATTTTCACTTTTTTGAGCCATAATGAGCAATGCTGGGGTATAATTCCTACAAACGTTATTGTTGTGTTAGGGTAATATTATTCGGATGGATAAGTTTCGAACTTGCCTGCTCTCTACTGCAGTGGTGCAAGCATGATGGCTATGTTCTGCAAGATGAGGACCCTTAGTGCACGTGTATTTTTGTGTATCCAAGGATCACATGATTTTCACTTTTTTGAGCCATAATGAGCAATGCTGGGGTATAATTCCTACAAACGTTATTGTTGTGTTAGGGTAATATTATTCGGATGGATAAGTTTCGAACTTGCCTGCTCTCTACTGCAGTGGTGCAAGCATGATGGCTATGTTCTGCAAGATGAGGACCCTTAGTGCACGTGTATTTTTGTGTATCCAAGGATCACATGATTTTCACTTTTTTGAGCCATAATGAGCAATGCTGGGGTATAATTCCTACAAACGTTATTGTTGTGTTAGGGTAATATTATTCGGATGGATAAGTTTCGAACTTGCTGTATATTTTTGGTTCAATTTCACTGTTAAAGTGATAAAGGTCTTGAGTTAATAAAGTCTAACTGACGTATATAAAAGGCATTTTATGAGATATCAAATCCCGCCAGAACAATAGGATGACGTCACTATAGGATTATAAAACATTATTAAGTTTAATGCGGACTCCAGAGAAAAAAATCATTTTTCTGTTAACCTTTATAGAGCTCATTGTATAATGTGAAAAAAATTGTTCAGATCGACATGAATTGTTGAATGCGACATGCGTGATTCTATCACAATGCTAGCGGATGAGTAACGAACCCCGAGGGACGGTAGTTAAATGGCTGTATATCATTCTAAATGATCGATACAGGTAAACAAATTGAAAGTAAAACAGGAAGAATGTATTCTAACCATAACAATCGATAGTTTGGTCTGATTTAAGATTTGCGGAAGTGTAAGCGAACCCTTACGCGAGATTTACATTCGGTATGGTTGTACTGGGGGAGCTGAAATTCCATTAGCCCGTAAAACGAATCAAACGACCGCATCCCTTAAGAAATAGCCTTGAAAATTAATCAGATTACTACCGGACGCAGGCTATCGCTTTTTCGAACTGATTCTAGCTTACAAAGTGATACGGAGTTCGATCCCATCCGGATAGCTTCCCCGATCAGTGGACCAGAAATTTCCAAACCTGGCTTACCATAAGTAATTGTGATGTGTTATTTACTGCCCAGGTTTACACTGAGTCCGTTAAACGTCTTATCGTGAAAGTTCTGCTGGCGCTCTGTAACATATCACTCTATGCCCCGTGTGCTACTGGCTGTGCACGTTAAAGATCCCTCGACAGTTGGAAATCGAAAGCAGGCTAATGCCGCTGTCTTGACAAAATTTCCCTTAATGTACCGTAGCAAGCCGATGGACACATTATAAAACATTTAATGCATAAGTAAGTGTCCATAATTTAATAAGCTAGGCACTACTAATATTGAACTATGGGCTAATATTGATATGCCGGAAGTAAAGAGTCTCGCCCAAGAAAAACAAAACGAAATCTACCATTCATTACCGAGAGAGATTCAGCTTTACGGAAACTGTCGAGAATAGCCGAATGTGAGGTGGTAAAATTTCTTGAAAAAAGCTATCATTTTATAACGTCATTAAGGCTTGTACCGCTGTCGCCAAAGTATCCTGTTTACACTAAGAATACTACTATGTTAGCTGCCATTTTTTGTGGTGATGTTCATACTGTATTTCTTACAGTGTAGATTATTGATTATAGACAATTGTGACTGATATTTTGGTTCTGCAAGTGGTTATAGATTCTTTTGGATGTAACTATGCGTTCAAGAGCCTACACTTGGTTGAAGACTAGAGCAAAATGGCACTCAGTGTCTCATTATCATCGCATGTAAGAACAGTTTTTGAACCGTTGCATTTATTGGATTGATAACTTCAGCTATTATCCAATCAACAGCAAAACCACTGGATGTACGCTGGGTTGAAGCCCCAAGCTAAGAGGCATGTCTATTGCTAGTAAGAGCAGTTTTGGTTCATGGAATTTATCGGATTTTCAACCCGGGCTATTGTGGAATGAGTTTCAGATATACCAATGTAGATGTTGGCGATTTTAATTCTAAGATGCAAGAAAGACGGTCAAGAGATTGTGAACCTAAGCTTTCGACGGCATATTTCAAAGGTGACATTTGAAAAGAATGTTGTATTTAAACTTGGTCACAACAAAACTCAGTGTTTGAATATTCAGGATTATTGGTCAAAGGACTTGACTTAGTTGACCGCTGCGATCCGGAATGATTATATGTGTTGTGTGGACTCTACAAAACCAGATGCGCTGACGAACAGTCGAAGGTCGAAAACTAAGAAGATTCACTAACAAAAAGTGTCATTGGACAGAAACTAAACACAACTGGTTAACTAACTGACATTAGGCGTTCTCATTTTCAAGGAAGGGCGTTTATGGATACTACCCAGGAAGAAACTTTAAAACATTAAAATCAAAAGAAAAACAAAAAATGCATGCGATCATCTTATTTGTACTCTGCAACTTTGTATGGCACCAAAGTGGATCGTGTTCCTGGGAATTCCAGAATTTCCAAAACATTGGTTCCTTCAACGGATTGAACCTACCGGAAAATCTGACGATCGGATCCGCAGACGTCCGGAGTCGTTTGGAGTGTTTCATCTTTTGTCAAAAGACCGCTAATTGTGTGACGATTTTTGTGAAGCTTGGAGCCACGGTGGAGTGTAAATTTAGTGAAAAGAATACTGATGAACTAGACGGTCAACTGACGGAAGGGGAGCATTTTAGATTTTTTTCTCAGTTTTCTGGTAAGCATATTTATACATATGTATATTTATATAAAGTTATAATATAATAATATAACATTTCACTGTTAAAATACATCAATTGTAGAGTTATATAGATATACTACTGTTAAGATAGTACTCAGTACATCAATTGTAGAGTTATATAGAAATACCACTGTTAAAATAGTGCGCAATACATCAATTGTAGAGTTATATAGATATACCACTGTTAAGATAGTACTCAGTACATCAATTGTAGAGCAATATAGAAATACCACTGTTAAAATAGTGCGCAATACATCAATTGTAGAGAGATATAGAAATACCACTGTTAAAATAGTGCGCAATACATCAATTGTAGAGAGATATAGAAATACCACTGTTAAAATAGTGCGCAATACATCAATTGTAGAGTTATATAGATATACCACTGTTAAGATAGTACTCAGTACATCAATTGTAGAGCAATATAGAAATACCACTGTTAAAATAGTGCGCAATACATCAATTGTAGAGAGATATAGAAATACCACTGTTAAAATAGTGCGCAATACATCAATTGTAGAGAGATATAGATATATCACTGTAAAAATAGCGCGCAATACATCAATTGTAAAGAGATATAGAAATACCACTGTTAAAATAGTGCGCAATACATCAATTGTAGAGAGATATAGATATACCACTGTTAAAATAGTTCTCAATACATCAGTTGTAGAGCAATATAGAAATACCACTGTTAAAATAGTGCGCAATACATCAATTGTAGAGTTATATAGATATACTACTGTTACAATAGTGCGCAATACAACAATTGTAGAGTTATATAGATATACCACTGTTAAGATAGTACTCAGTACATCATTTGTAGAGCAATATAGAAATACCACTGTTAAAATAGTGCGCAATACATCAATTGTAGAGAGATATAGAAATACCACCGTTAAAATAGTGCGCAATACATCAATTGTAGAGAGATATAGAAATACCACTGTTAAAATAGTGCGCAATACATCAATTGTAGAGAGATATAGAAATACCACTGTTAAAATAGTGCGCAATACATCAATTGTAGAGAGATATAGAAATACCACTGTTAAAATAGTGCGCAATACATCAATTGTAGAGAGATATAGATATACCACTGTTAAAATAGTGCGCAATACATCAATTGTAGAGAGATATAGAAATACCACTGTTAAAATAGTGCGCAATACATCAATTGTAGAGAGATATATATATACCACTGTTAAAATAGTGCTCAATACATCAATTGTAGAGTTATATAGAAATACCACTGTTAAAATAGGGCGCAATACATCAATTGTAGAGAGATATAGAAATACCACTGTTAAAATAGGGCGCAATACATCAATTGTAGATATATATATATATATATACCACTGTTAAAATAGGGCGCAATACATCAATTGTAGAGAGATATATATATATACCACTGTTAAAATAGTGCTCAATACATCAATTGTAGAGAGATATAGATATATCACTGTTAAAATAGGGCGCAATACATCAATTGTAGAGAGATATAGATATATCACTGTTAAAATAGTGCTCAATACATCAATTGTAGAGTTATATAGAAATACCACTGTTAAAATAGTGCTCAATACATCAATTGTAGAGTTATATAGATATACCACTGTTAAAATAGTGCTCAATACATCAATTGTAGAGCGTTATAGAAATACCACTGTTAAAAAAGTGCGCAATACATCAATTGTAGAGCGATACAGAAATACCACTGTTAAAATAGTGCTCAATATATCAATTGTAGAGAGATATAGAAATACCACTGTTAAAATAGGGCGCAAGGCATCAATTGTAGAGAGATATATATATACCACCGTTAAAATAGGGCGCAATACATCAATTGTAGAGCGTTATAGAAATACCACTGTTACAATAGTGCGCAATACATCAATTGTAGAGAGATATAATAAATACCACTGTTAAAATAGTGCTCAGTACATCAATTGTAGAGTGATATAGAACGATTAAATCAGAACTTCAATCATATTGTTGCTCAGTTACTCTAAGTAACAACATGATTTAAATATATGTATATCAATGATCGTGCAATAACTCATCGGTCGTTTTGGGGTTGGACTGAAGAGAGGAAGGGAGGTGGAAACTAGTTTTTACCACCGCTGAACCCGTTATATTCCGATTTTCCGCTCAATTTTTGATATTTAAATTCCATTATTGATCATTCCGAAAATAATTCTGTTTCTTCTCAAGGTTTTAAACAATGTAGACTAGTTTCTCGTGATCACAGTTCGAATTAGTACTATGCTTTTAGTATCTTAGATCCGCTCAATTGAAATACCTGTGAATTAAAACAATGGTTTATTTACATATTGTTGAACATATCCGCTTTTATGTTACTTTAGTAATATAAAACAATTCTTAATGGGTTTACTTTAATCGATTACAAACGCCAAGCCTTGGAATGTTTTTATAAGCCGACAAAGTAATGTGGACGTTCACGGGTATTTTTATATGCCAACATTGAAATGTGGTCTGTCGGTCCGTCAGTCTGCCTGTTCACATTTCTTGTAGACACGATGAGGTCTCGGTCGAGTTCGAATTTGGTATTAATCGGATGAACGGTTTTCGAGTTATTACCCTTCACTTTATAAAGAACGCATCAAATTTTTCCTGAGGCTGAAGATTTCATTCGATATGACTATTGAATTACATATGCTTGCATAAAATGATTTTATTTCGGTCAAATTTGAATTTGGCAGTTATTGGATAAACAGTTTTGGAGTTATTGCCCTTGAAGTAATTAAATTTGGCCCATTTGAATTGTTGACACGATAGATGCTAAAATATTTACCTGATCTTAGAAAAACTAGGTGCGCAAATGATATCTCAGTAAAGCTTAAAATTGTGAATATTTCACACATTTGTTTTAGTCGATGCTAAAGAATTTTCAAAATGGAGACTTCAGAGCAGAGTCGATTTTGTAATTTGATTTATTATTTGGGTTATTGCTTTTGTTTATGTATGATTTGTAAATTGATGAGATATCCAAGTGACAGGTGCGCTTATTTTATCCTTTCCTCGCAACTGCCAGTTGGTGTATGTTTCCTTGCTTGGCCAGTTTTCTTTGAAGAAACGCTGAAATTGCGAAATCAAAACAAATATCAAATAATGAAAAACAAAGTTTATATTAGAACCAAAATCGGACGTTTAATGATATTTGTTCTAGATTGCTTTTAAAGTTATCAAGACTTTTTTCACGTGAGAAAATATCTAAACTATAAACAAAGACAATTTATTTTACTTTCGAGCACGAAACTTTTGTCTGTTTAGAAAGCTACTTAAAACTCAAATCCTGAATTAGAAAAAAGGACAATTGCATTTTGTTCGATTTTAAACCTTCACTGCAGTCTAATTAAAATTGCGCGATCAAAAGGTGTATTTTCAGTAGCAATAGACTAGCTTATCAAATACGGAGCAAATACGCCACTGTATGTTGGTAATGAATATTTAAGATCTCCGGGTATGATCCTCTATGGAACAATTTTTGTTATGTTTCTAAAAGGTGTAGGCCCGTACCGAACGGACAATTTTTATCATTATGATTCCAAGAGACATGGCTGTATAACTAAACCCCAGGGATAGATCAAGAGATGGATTTCATCTAACCTGCACAAAATTTATTTTTTTTATAAAATTGATATTTCAAATTGTAAACCTCCATTCATGTACTTTATAATTCACAAGAGAAATGGCTGCCGCTTTTCATAACGCATTCCTGATTATGAAATCATTTTCACTTCAAACAATTAAAGCCATTGTAATCATTTTCACTGTTGCTATGTAAAGTTTTCATGAAATTTTAATGAACGATATTTCTTCATTACAGAAAGTTTTACAGGTAGCAATACACATGACTACACGACCTACGACCAAAGTTCTACCCGACTACTTTTGGATTTGGTCGCATCCACTTCGGATTGGTCTACGATTGATAGGAATCCAAGCTCGGATATAATTCAGAGTTCCTTTGATTCACCATTGTCTCCTTCGGAGCAGAGTCACTCGTCGCAAACATTACAGCCAACGATTGCGGTTACGTCAGCCATGGATGAAACAACAATCTTTATTACGTCTCCAACGTTTGATGTATCTTGGATAACAGCTTCAGATCTTGTTACGACCACCACAACATCTTTTGCGATCTCGTCCGTGACACCAGATGCGTCCACAACACTCAATACTTTAACACCTTCCATTACGAATACGGTGTATAGATTTAGGAGAGTGAATATGGCAACGGGAACGGTGTCTGTGATCTATCCAGGGCCCTTCGTTTCGCCTACTATGTCGCAGACGGTAATGAAGTCGTGCTCTGTTAGTAAAGAAGGCACTGAAACCACTGAAGCCACTGAAGCCACTGAAGATGATGACGAGGGCAGTAATTGTAGTGAAGAAAGCGGGGACGATGACGATGGTGACGTAGATCAAAGTGATAATGACAAATAAACTGCTTAGTAGCCTAACAACGGTGGTATGTGATTCAGAATAGACTGACTTTCTTCGAAGGCCGTTCCTACCGAGTTTAATCTGGTGATAATGTAGCAATGATATTTGTACACATGTGGATCCGATTACTACTAACTATATTTAGTGGTGCGGGCACACGAGAAGTCTTGGTCGACGATTTTTGTCGCTGACTCGAATCATGAGTAAAATCTCACATGTGCCCGCACTTCCAGGACAATATTATCGTGTTGTCGATAGGATTTGATATTTCTCCGATTATGTTATCGTCTGAAAGACAGAGCGTCATCATCCAATCAGATTCATTTTGCCTGATCCAAACGTGGTTATCGACATAGTTGAAAACGATCGACTGAAGATTTTTGTCTCCGCGTGTGCCCGTAGCCGGTCGGTGAAAATCGCCGATCAAACACCGTTCGTGAGCTCGCACTTTTACGTTTAACATCGTCCCAATAACTGTGCACAAAATATGTTGATCCGACGTTATAATGAAAAACATAATGCAAGTGACTTTACATGGGATAAAAAATTGTTTCCAACGTTTTGAAAGCTCAACTTCAGTAAAATTTTGAGAATGAAATCCGAGAGCTCAATTTCATTTACTTGAATTAATTTTTCTGAGTGAAATCCGACTTTCTGATCGACGGTATCTCTCAAGTTTACTTTATGTAATTCCTAGATTGTTGCCTTTTTAGAATGCTTTTAAAAATCCCTTTATTCAAAATAGTTTGCCTTTAATGAAATGAATGTCCTTAGATGTCTCCCCTGAGGCTGGCTTTTATTTCCAAATGAATGGATTTTTACCCTTTTGTTGAGTTGTTTCTGTGTATTACCCTACTACAAAGCAATAAAAACTAGAGACATAACAACGTACAGCGTACAATAATGGGAAATGCTGAAGATGTGGTACCACGTGATCAGTGGCGTTTCTGGGAAGCATTAGTTCATTACGTAAATTGATACACATTTTGAAAGCGGTTAGGGAGGGGTGGGGGAGGGAGGGGTTCACTCCCTTGTCACTCCTTCTCCCCCGAAAGACAGGAACTGCGCTGCTCTTTGGAGAGTGCATTGACCTTTCGATTTCCAACTGTCGAGGGATCTTTAAAGGAGCATTTTTATTATCCGATCGACCAATCATGCGTTAGTTTCAGAAACAAGAATTTTTTTTAGCTTACGTAATCAGTAATAGTGTTCACAGCTCAAATCCATGTGTATCCATAATTATTCTAGTTTGAGGTATATTTGAAGGGATTACGCGATTTTCGTACGTTTTAGTACTTCTCAAGACTATTAAAGCACAATAAAGACCCAAATCAACTCCCGAAAATGCCGACTGTTCCCCTTTAATGTGTAGCCTACAGTCGTATCACACAAGGGCCCTGGTTTCTCTCTAATTCGAACATATTGCCGCTTGGATATTCAACTGTGGTATGGAGTGGGTCCCTCTTGAATTCTATATTAATAGGAAGCAAGTTTTAACTCTCTTAACCATCGCAGCTCCCCAAACTCAAACAATTTGGAAAAACATAGCGATGAAGAGTATCTGTATAAGATAAATATACCAAAATGTTAGAAACCAAATGAAACCCGTTATTATAACTTTCAAACTTATTTCACGGAGATTTTCCAATCAAAGCCATTGTCGTCTGAATCTGTACTAGAGCAAGAGTTTAGTCCCCTGTTAGTAAATCTTTAATTGAAAGTCATAAAAGGTCAACCAGGAAGTAGACGTTTATAAAGACGGTAATTGCAACGAGGTTTCTTTGGAAAAAAGACTGGTTAGACCAATCAACCTCCACGTTCATGTCAATGGCCGACAAAAATTAATTTGCTAAACATATTGCAGAGAAAAATTAGAATTTCGTCATTCATAAGTTATCACGAAGAAGAAATATACAAAAAAGGACAGGATGGCGACAGTTAAAGACCTTCAGAAAAAAATAAAAGAGTTGGAAGCAGAGCTGGAGAAAGAAAGAAGGGAAAAACAAAATGTATTGCGGCCGAAAATTTCTCAAATGAGTTCCGAAGTCGTCGATTCGAATCCTTACAGGTAAGTGTTTCATTTTGTTAACAAATCATTGTAGGCAATATGGTATGATATGACCACAGGGAGTCGTTCAAAGACTAACAGCAGAACCCTATCAATTTAAAACCAATATACAAATTCGCATGACATCCTTGATTTTTTGTCTGTGAAACCCGAATAAATCGAAAAACCTTTTCACTTGTTTCTACAACAGCTACAGGTATGGAATCTTTGAAAATGGATGCAGATTGGATAAAGGTAAAAATGCAAAATGAAGGTTATTGATTATTGAATCTTTTTAATAGAATTAGAATTGACATACCAAGTTGCACTGTAATTCTGGAAGGGTTATTTGAAATTGTAAAGGACAATGTTTTTTTTTCTTTAGTCGTTTGATGGCTTTAAAAAGAATGGGTATAGTAGATGACTATGAGGTAAGATGATTTATTACATGATAGATAAAATCCAAAAACCTTTCATCCGAAAAAGATTGATTTGAATATATATAGACAGTCTTCAGAAGTCCTAAAAATGTACGAAAATGGCATAATTCCTTCAAGAATATCCCACACTATTATCTTAGCAAATTAAAAAGTTTTTTCGATATTTTTGAAAAGAATTGGAATATCAGCCTCAAAAAAGTAATGTTAGTCTTTGAATGTCTTTGCGTTGATAAAAATATAATTTTTACATTGAAAAGAAGCTCATTTCCCTTGGAAATTTTTTGGCTGAAAATGGGCCTCTGTAAAAACAAATCCGAAGACATATTATGTGCTTATGTTTAATTTTTCATCAAAGCAAAGACATTTTAAAACTAACAGTATTATTTTGAGGCTGCTATTCCAATTCTCATAAAAATAAGAAAAAAATTCAAAAAACTTTTTTTTCTATAGATGTCTTTTCTTTATATGACAGAGTCTCAAGAAAAGACAATTCGTCTTTTTAACTTTCAAACACGGAGAATTCTGCATATACATTGATTTGAAGGCTCAAATTTCAATGGTTAGCTGTGAACACTGATTGCCTGAGCTAAAATATTCCCGTTTTTGTAGACTATTGTACGATTGGTCAAAAACAGAACCAAAGTTTAGTGTAATTTCAATAAGACTAGGTAGTAATGTTCTTTACTATTAGGACTGAATTTATATTTTGTAGAAAATCAGAGAGTACTGTGTAGCAGTTGTTGGAGTAGGTGGAGTAGGAAGTGTTACAGCTGAAATGTTGACTAGATGTGGAATCGGCAAGGTAACACTCATTACTTTCTCTGTGAACAGACTGTAGTTTAGTCCTTAAGAGATTTGGAAGCATGATGTCATTTGCTTAGTTACTTTGAACCAATGGTAGTTATTGGTTTTAATAACGGTTGACGAAAGTTTGTTGTTTGTAAACGTAATCAGGGTGATGATTATCAATGCTTAGATACTTGACTAAGTACCAGCTGAGAAAAAGGATCATTGAACAGATTTGATGCTACATGGGAAGCAAGGGGGGGGGGGGGGGGGGGCTACCGACCAATTCCTTTACTGCAACTAAACACCATACACCTCCAGATATATTACTCACCCCTCTGAACAATCTAGTCTGGCTACCAGCCTGATTGAGATGTTAATATACTATCTATTATATTCATGTATATAATATTTATTTCAGTTGTTATTATTTGACTATGATAAAGTAGAGCTAGCTAATATGAACAGATTGTTTTACCAACCTCATCAGTCTGGTATGAGTAAAGTAGAAGCTGCCGAAAAAACACTCAAGTGAGTTACCTCTCTTATAGTGCTGCAACGATTCCTAAAGTGGCGATCCGATACACTGAACGATACCCGTTTAACGATACGAGTTATTGGGATAATAAATCACGATTCTTTGATTAAAAGGGAAAGAAAAAGAAAACTGATAATTAATAACATTTTAACACAGTTTAAATTATTTTGGCACACTTAGAAGTACAAAATTCACTTTTCATCATTTGTTACACATAAGGACTAACAAATTTCTTCAAAAAATAAATAAAATACCAAACCGATCGAATACAGCTTTGTGGAATTATTTTATGACTATGCAAACACATATTACGTTGGAAAAAGAAAAAGTTTATATCAGATCCTATGCGTTTATCTTCCACTTGGCATATTAATGTGTTCTCTTTTCTTCGTTTATAACAAAAATTAAAAATGCTGAAGACAAATCAATACGTGAAAAGCAATTTTTTAACATTTGAACATGGCACAATTTCTTAAATACACGAGGATTCCGTGCTGTTAGTCATTAAAGGGAGTTAATTATATTTATGAGAATCGGGCCGATGTATCGCGATTATTTCTTTCTTCCGCAATGCATCGATAAGAAGGAACGAATTGCGGTTCATCGATTCAACAGTGAATCGTTGCAGCCCTACTCTCTTATAAAGCCAAATGAGGCTCTGTTTGCTACAAGCCCTGTATGTTAAAGGGGCAGCTGTGCCATTTTTTTGACCAATCATACTTTAGTCTCGGAAACAGGAATTTTTTAGCTAAGCCAATCGATAATAGTGTTCACAGTTCACTGTCGCAATTTGAAAGTTCAAAAGTTCCTATAGAAATAGGAAAAGATATTCTTTGTGTGAGATATGGAATTATGCAATTTTTGTTCGTTTATAGTACTTCTGAAGACTATTTACATATATTCAAGTCCCAAATCAATTCCCCAAGATGGCGAATCTGTCCCTTTAAGGTTCCTAAAACAATTGGAAGTGGTTACTAGGTTTATGCTGCTGTCTTGGCAAGTATCCCTCTTTTCTCGCTACTTTGGCCATCTTCTGATGCCTAACTAGAAGTCAAGTAGTTGAAAACTTAGTACGAATGTAGAACGTAAAACTCACATTTTGATTTTGGAGTAAAATAGAGTTGCTTCCCTTGCAATTCTGATAAATTTGATTGTATTTTGTAGAGAAATCAACCCAGATGTTGAATTTGAAGTTTATAATTATAACATCACCACCATGGACAACTTTACTCATTTTATGGAGAGAATTAAGTAAGTGATAACAGACACCCACTTGGCACTATTATTCCCCTACCTTGATTTATTGCCCTTTTACATAATTATGTTATGTTAAAGGTAATGTAAAGAGGTTTTCTAAATTTTTGATATATGACATCACAAAGGGCTATATATGATAAACATATCTGCTATTAATGACGTCATTAAACACTTATTTTTTAGTGGAAGTGCAGGAACCACAGACGTCTGATTGAAACTTGAAATGGTGTAAATTGATGCGATCAATACACTTACTTACAATCCCTTTAATAATAATTATTTAATAATTATCTTAAACATAACCAGTATATCAGCAAATTTTTTTGCAGTTTTTAATTTTCAATACTCAATACAAGCCTTTGTCTTGATCAATGGATCTTCAAGATTTAAGTGATACTACGTCTTAAATGAACATAAAAGTATATATTCATCAGCTAGCTTACGTGGTGTCATAAAGTTACAACAGAATCCCTGTAAAATCTAGAAAATTGGAAAATTCATAAAACTAAGCAATTATTGAAAAAGGCTTAATCTTGACATTAAGCGTTTTTCAATAGTTAATTGCATATTTATAGATAATAACTAAGTTTTTTTGATTAAATAAGGATCCTGTTATGTTATTTATGACACCAGGTATATCTACTGGCTCTTATTCGCCAAGTTTAAAATTCTTGAATTTTATGTGAATTCTAAGACGTAGTATCACTTTAAGACCCTGTCTAAAGATCCATTATGTGGGCATATCTTATCATGTCTGTTAATTGTGTATATTATAGAACTGGTGGATTCAAGTCTGGGGAGCCTGTAAACTTGGTGTTGAGCTGTGTGGATAATTTTGAAGCTAGAATGACAGTAAATACGGTAAGCTATTTTGGTTAATTTAGTTAGGAGTGCTGTTGGTCAAGCACAGCACAAGATAATAGAAACTGTAGTGTTGACCCAGTAAGGTAGTCGATCTTTAGGACTTTGAGGCTGTCATTTGTCTAAGTGGACAAAGCATTATCTATTCATTTTATTCATCTCTTTATTCATTTATTCATCTCTTTATTAATTTATTCATATTTTTATTCATCTCTTTATTCATTTATTCTTTTATTTATCTTTCTATGCATTCATTTATTCATCTATCTCTTTATTCATATATTTACAAAGCATCATCTAGTTATTTTATTCATCTATTTATTCATTTATTCATCTCTTTATCCATTTATTCATCTCTTTATTCATTTATTTATTCCATCTTCATTTATTCTTTTATTTATCTTTCTATGCATTCATTTATTCATCTATGTCTTCATTCATATATTTACAAAGCATCATCTAGTTATTTTATTCATCTATTTATTCATTTATTCATCTCTTTATCCATTTATTCATCTCTTTATTCATTTATTCATTCCATCTTCATTTATTCTTTTATTTATCTTTCTATGCATTCATTTATTCATCTATCTCTTTATTCATATATTTACAAAGCATCATCTATTTATTTTATTCATCTATTTATTCATTTATTCAGCTCTTTATTCATTTATTCATCTCTTTATTCATTTATTCTTTTATTTATCTTTCTATGCATTCATTTATTCATCTATCTCTTTATTCATATATTTACAAAGCATCATCTATTTATTTTATTCATCTATTTATTCATTTATTCAGCTCTTTATTCATTTATTCATCTCTTTATTCATTTATTCTTTTATTTATCTTTCTATGCATTCATTTATTCATCTATCTCTTTATTCATATATTTACAAAGCATCATCTATTTATTTTATACATCTCTATCTTCATTTATTCATCTCTTTATTTATTTATTCTTTTTTTTTTATCTTTCTATGCATTCATTTATTCATCTATATCTTCATTCATATATTTACAAAGTATCAACTATTTATTTTATTCATCTATTCATTCATTTATTCATCTCTTTATTCATTTATTCATCTCTATCTTCATGTATTCATCTCTTTATTCATTTATTCGTTTATTTATCTTTCTATGCATTCATTATTCATCTATCTCTTCATTCATATATTTACAAAGCATCATCTATTTATTTTATTCATCTATTCATTCATTTATTCATCTCTTTATTCATTTATTCATCTCTATCTTCATGTATTCATCTCTTTATTCATTTATTCGTTTATTTATCTTTCTATGCATTCATTATTCATCTATCTCTTCATTCATATATTTACAAAGCATCATCTATTTATTTTATTCATTTATTTATTTATTCATCTCTATCTTCATGTATTCATCTCTTTATTCATTTATTCGTTTATTTATCTTTCTATGCATTCATTTATTCATCTATCTCTTTATTCATATATTTACAAAGCATCATATTTTTATTTTATTCATCTATTTATTCATTTATTCATCTCTTTATGCATTTATTCATCTATCTCTTCATTCATATATATATCTTTATTTATCTTTATATCTATGCATTTATTTATTTATTTATCCATTTTTTCATTTATCTCTTAATTCATTTGTTCATCTTTTTAGTTATCTCTTTATACATTTATTCATCTCTTTATGCATTTGTTCATCTCTTTATGCATTTGTTCATCTCTTTATGCATTTATTCATCTCTTTATGCATTTATTCATCTCTTTATTCATTTATTCATCTCTTTATTCATTTATTTATCTCTTTATTCATTTATTCATTTCTTTATTCATTTATTCATCTCTATCTTCATTTAATTATCTCTTTATTCATTTATTCATCTCTTTATTCATTTATTCTTTTATTTATCTTTCTATGCATTCATTTATTCATTTTTCTCTTCATTCATATATTTATCTTTATATCTATGCATTTATTTATTTATAAATTTATCCATTTTTTCATTTATCTCTTAATTCATTTATTTATCTATCTGTCCATTTTTCTATTAATTTATAATTACTAATTTGATTATAGGCGTGTAATGAACTAGGACAGAATTGGATAGAGTCAGGAGTCAGTGAGAATGCTGTGTCTGGTCATATACAGTTTATTATTCCAGGAGAAACATCTTGTTATGCTGTAAGTCATTTGATTTATTCAGAGTTATCTTATCTATTATAGGATTTCTACCTCTTAGATTCGAATGATCATTTTTTTTAAATTCTCAAACATGGCCAATAAGAGTTCTTAGGAGGGGGTTTTCAATTTGAAAAATCCAGTGCTCTTATTCTCTAAGTTTAAAGGGATTGTAAAGAAGTTTTCTAAAAAAAAATTCATGTTTTTTTTGGGACACTAATGACATCAATTTGCATCATTACAATTTTCAATCAGACATCTATGTGTTGTTGCTTAGGGCAAAAGGGCTTTATGTTTTAAAGCATATTTTGCCATTAGTGACCTGTCATCAAACACTTAGTTTTAGTGGAATTGCAGGAATCACAGACGTCTGGTTGAAAATTGCGCATGTGCCCACTTGATAAATGCCGTTTACACTGGAGGTACATTCACTGTAACAAAATGGTGCCGCCCATAGCCCAAATGCTTTTCTTTTTTATACGCCCACATGAAATGGGGGGCGTATATTGCTGTCACCCATGTCCGTCTGTCGTCTGTCCGCAATTGCTCGTAAACACTCTAGAAGGCACAATTCTTGACTGATTTTGTCGAAACTTGGTATGGTTGTTTGTAATCACCCAAGGATGAACCCTATTGAAAATCAGACGAATCGAAAAATATTTACTATGAGTTATTGCCCTTGTTCTTGAAAACACGTTCAATTTTTAGTTCGTTAACACTCTAGAAGGCATAATTCTTGACGGATTTTGGCGAAACTTGGTGTGTGTGTTCGCAGTCACCCAAAGGATGAACCCTATTGAAAATCAGAAAAATCAAAAAATATTGAGTATGAGTTATTGCCCTTATTCTTGAAAACACGTTCAATTTTTAGCTTGTAAATACTCTAGAAGTCACAATTCTTAACGGATTTTAACGAAATTTGGCTTGAGTGTTTGTTATCACCCAAGGATAAAGTTATTGCCCTTGACTTTGTTAAAACGTGTTGAAATTTGTTAAAAATAGTTCGTGAGCAGGATTGACGCTACAGTTTTCAACCGATTCTGATGAAACTTGGTGTGATCATTGGAATTGATAAGATCTCGGACAAGTTCTAATTTGACGCAATTTCAATGAACGGTTTTTGAGTTATTGCCCTTGACTTTGTAAAAACGTGTCAAAATTGGTTATCACCCAAGGATAAAGCCTATTGAAAAATACCAAAATATTTAGTTATTGCCCTTGTTCTTGAAAACTCGTTTAATTCGTAGCTCGTAAAAACTCTAGAAGGCATGATTCTTGTCAGATTTTGACAAAACTTGGTTTTATTATTCAGTACCGCTCTGAATATTCAATATTTGTCTTCTAGAGTTTTCACGAGCTAAAAATTGAACACGTTTTCAAGAACTAGGGCAATAACTCGTACTCAATATTATTGTTACTGTACTGCTAAATATCTTTATTCAAAATCAAAGCTGCCAGTGGGCTTATATTACCTTGCCTGGCAAGCTATCTTGTAATTTTCCTGCAAAGTAGAACTTATCTGTTCAAAGATTTTGTGATTGTGCCTTGTGCCTTGCACCTTCTAATTGAGCTTGCACAGACTCCTCGCCCAAACAGCAATTAACTCCTAGCATTATAAAGCGTGCCAGGCCCAGTGGCGCGTTTACACTGTACGTTCAAGTCAACCGTACTGGGCTTGTAAAGGGTCTCGGTCCACTTAAAACTAGCGCGGTGCCATGCCCACTTTACCCGTTTACATTACGCAATTTTTTACCGGGCCAGACTCAAACCGGGCGGAACCCAGATGTATACTGACAATGTAAACGGGGCTTATGTCTAATGTAGATGATTATTATCTTTAAATGAGATTAGGTTAAAAAAGAGGAAAAAAATAAAAAATTAAGGTTAAGGTTATCAGATTGTGAACACTAGCTATGAAGTTTTCCTATGAAGTTCACCTTAGAATTAAAAATTAAGAATTTAGATTTAGTTAACAAGAAGTTTAAGATATTTCATATAGGTTGGAGTATCCCTGTTGATGAATCTTACCTCCAAAATCGAAAATTGTAAAGATCCATAGGAATATTTCTATAAAAATTTAAAAATCTGGTTTAAAAAAAATGAAATGAATAGAGTTTTACGTCCTACTTTTGTGCACCATGTGGGCTAATGAAGACGGGCAACGCCATGCGGGGTGCGATGAGGGAAATTTTGCCAGGACAGCCGCATTAGCCTGCACAGCCTGTAGCACACGGGACCTGGGTTTATTGTCCCATCCGAACGACTAGACTTTTTTTCCATGTCAGCCCCTCTTACCTACATCACTGACAGGGGGAAACCGGGTTGAAAAATCCGAAGGTATTATCTCGACCTATCCCGGGATTGAACCCTGGACCTTAGCGGGCAAGCGTCTAACTCACTGAGCCACAGCGGCTCCCAAAAATCTGGTTTAAAAGATTGCTCTAATAATAACTAGGCTGTCGTCTGCTAGTGTTAACACAACATATAAAGGAATGTATACTACTGCTTTAGGCTATAGAGACAAGTCCATACTGATGAGTTATGATAGGTAGTATTATAAAAACATTTAAAAATATATAAGGTATATTTACATAAAAAAAAGAAAGATTATTAAAAGTGTGATATTTATAACACATGAGTGTAAAATAAACTTTTGAATGAAAACATGTCTTGGATAAAATTGTTTTAAATGAAGTAATGCGTTAGCTAAAATACCTTTATATAAAATGACAAGATCTATATGCCATGAGGGTTAAATTCCTATTAATGTATATAGTACGGAAGCGTATTAGGGCCATTCATTTTTTTTTTTTGTAATTTTCAAGTTAGCATGTTGAATTTTCAAGTTAGTATGTTGAATTTCCAAGTTAGTATCTTGAATTTTCAGGCTAGTATCTTGAATTCAAGTTAGTATGTTGAATTTTCAAGCTAGCATGTTTCAAGCTAGTATCTTGAATTTTCAGGCTAGTATCTTGAATTCAAGCTAGTATCTTGAATTTTCAGGCTAGTATCTTGAATTCAAGTTAGTATCTTGAATTTTCAGGCTAGTATCTTGAATTCAAGTTAGTATCTTGAATTTTCAGGCTAGTATCTTGAATTCAAGTTAGTATCTTGAATTTTCAAGCTAGTATGTTGAATTTAGTAACTTGAATTTTCCGTACCTGATACATATACACCTCTTAAAAAAATTAATTTAATTTCATGTTTCATTCAAAAAGGGAAGTATTCCTTTAATCCAATATCAAATTCAGAGCAAGGCGACCTGATATGCTATTATAAAACAGTTTTTGTAGTGTAAGGCCAGGCCATTTATTTTCTTGTTTTACAGATTTTTTCAAGAAATTTGGAAATTTGTAGTAAAATGTAGAAAAAATCAAATTTATTAGAACCCACAAAGGCAAGAGGGTGAAAAAAGACCAAAATTTGGTTGAAGGGCAGGAGAGAAAACAAAACCTTACAAAAGCCAGAACTAACCTGCATTTATCTATTTTCCCTGTATTGACTTAATTAAAAAACAAGAATTTTATTGTTAAGTTTCTGATGATTTCGTCCATCCGAGTTGGTTTTTAATACGCCCACACGTAATTATGGGTGTATATTGTAGTTGCCTCTGTCGGTCCGTCCGTCAGTCCGTCCGTCCGTTCGCATTTACCTAATGCTCACTCTACAGGCTACAATTCTCTATTGATTCTTTTGATCTTTGGTATGTGTGTCAATATCATTATGAAGATGTGTACTATTGAATTTGGTGATGATCCAATGATTTTCTTGAGAGATATTGCTTAAAACTCTGATATGCATTCGTTTTTTTTTTTCACTTTTTTGGCTCGTGCTCACTCTACAGGCTACAATATAGAGTTTGTTTTACAGTTCACATTTGGCTCTTTATCAAGCTGCAGGTGGGTGTATTCGCTTGCGAGACTTGTCGCAAGCCTATGTTTTCTCCCCCTAGCAGAGCTGATTTGTTTTTTTTTTTCTTTTGATTTTTGGAAAATTGTGGAAGAAGGATCAGTAAAATACAAAATATTTAGAACATAAACCTTAATTTACACAAGTATTTATTGTTTTTTTTTTTAATATTTACAGTGTGCTCCACCCCTTGTTGTATCCACCAAAACAGATGAAAAAACTCTAAAACGTGAAGGTGTATGTGCTGCTAGTCTACCTACAACCATGGCTGTAGTCGCTGGTTTCCTAGTCCAAAATACTCTCAAGTAAGAAACAAGGTTTTTAATGGGAAAACATGTAACAATAGTCTAGTTGTTAGGAATTTTAGGTTGTAACATTGCTGTTAAGCAATGTAACGAAAGCACAGGCACAGGCATGTAGGCGTAACCTCTAGTGATAGAGCAATGTTTGTGAAGTTAGATTAAAAGAATGATATAGAATATTTGAAATGCAAATCCATTATCTTCCGAATCTGAAATATGTAAGAAGAACACTGGTTCCTACAGGCACATTAATAACCATGGAAATCATAATAAACATTTTCACTGGTGAAACTGAGGAATTGTCCTATATTAAATGAAAAGGAAAATGCGTATTTCATATAAAAAATATATATAATTTATTAAGTGAAAATAGTATACATGTATGATATTTTTGCGAGGAAACTCTTCAATTGTAAGTTATCATGAATAAGAAATATTAATTAAAGGAAATGTACTAAAACTATGGAAGGGGGTTGGGGGTAATCTACCACGGACTAAGATATCGGGTGGGCCAATAAACTAACAACCTGAGTGCTACAGTCTGAGCACATTAAAGATGGTTTTCCTTATTTTTGAGTGTCAAATTAAGCAAACTATTTGATTAATTGGTGTTTCTAATGAATTATCATGTATTCTTAATCATATCATTTTGTTCTCATTGCATATTATTAAGAGTTTTAACCAATCATAAATGTCCATGTATGTACAGTCTTGATGAACAAAAAAAATCTTTTTGACCTTTCTTGATCGGTCAATCATTGGAATTCTGCTGGTAATTCTCTTCTTATTTGGTTAATTATGAATTAATTATGGACATGTGAGACAAACTGGTATTTTTTCAAGTCATTAGACCACCTCTACTTTCTATTCATATAAGTATTAGCATTTTCATTTTCATAAATGAAAATAAGGGAACCCATTTTTAAAGATCCCTCAACAGATGAAAATCACAAAAACCATAGGCTAATTCTGCTGTCCTTGCAAACTTTCTATCATTGAAAACTTCATTAGCCCAATCAGGTACAAAAAAGTAGGACCTAAAACCCCTATTTTGTGTCATTTCTTAGGGGAGAGGGATCATTAAATTTTTCAACCCAATTTTCCCCTGTCAATGATAAAGGTCTGTGGAGAGTGTATACTTCTTTCCATATACTGTGGTATAAAAATGGGTGTGGCCATCAAATGCATCACTCAAGTCTGCTAAGTGTGATTGACAGAATAAGCTCCGCCTTTTGTACATGCTAAGCCTGTTTTAAATCCCATTAATATACAGTATGGGCGTATATTGTAGTTGCCCCTGTCTGTCCGTCCGTCCGTTCACATTTACCTCGTGCTCACTCTACAGGCTACAATTCTCTATAGATTCTTTTGATCTTTTGTATGTGTGTCAATATCATTATGAAGATGTGCACTATTGAATTTTGTGATGATCCGATGATTTTCTTGAGAGATATCGCGTTCGTCTTTTTTTTTCTCACTTTTTTGGCTCGTGCTCACTCTACAGGCTACGATATAGAGTTTGTTTTACAGTTCTAATTTAGCTCTTTATCAAGCTGCTGGTGGGCGTATACGCTTGGGAGACTTGTCGTAAGTCTATATTTTGTTTTGCAGATATTTATTAAAGTTTGGTGATGTAAGTTATTATTTAGGATATAACGCTTTACAAGATTTTTTCCCGTCAATGACCTTACGACCTAACCCCACCTGTGACGACAGACATTGTGTTAATCAACAACATGCATTCCAGGTATAGTATTTTTTACCCTTTTCACCAGAGGGCCATGGTGGCCATGGTGCTCGCAAACCTGAAGGTTCGAGGGTTCAATCCCGATGTAGGTCGAGATAATGCCTTCGGATTTTTCAACCCGGTTGAAAGCTCTTATCAATCTCCTAGACGACTTGCCTGCCATTACAATTATGGGCCTATTATGATGCCCAGCGTTATTTTTTCTAATTTAGTTGCGGGAAAAATCAAAACCAAAAGTAGAAAAAGTTGAAGAAAAAGAAGATGATGTTATCCATGAAGACAATCCTTTTGGTAAGATTTATCGCTTTCTGTTTGACCACTCCTGTCCAGTGAATTTTGCTTATTATTGTATCATCAGATGATTATTATCTGAGCAAATTATTTTTATGAGAATTGAAATGGCAGCCTCAAAATATTACTGTTAGTCTTAGAAAGTCTTTGCATTGATAAAAATATAATTATTATACGCCCACATCTCTCTATGTGGACGTATATAGTCGGCACCCCTGTCCGTCCGTCCGTCGGTCAGTCAGCATTTGCTTGTAAACGCTCTAAAAACTCGATTTTTTGATGGAATCAAATGAAATTCGGTATACATATTCATAAAACGAAGATCAAGTTCGTATTTGAGCTATTTTCGACTGTTAGAATCAGAGTTATTGCCCTTGCCCCAAAATCTTGAATATGCTATTACTCTCTTAGTTTTCAACCGATTTTGCTGAAACTTAAAATGGATGTTATTGGACTTAAATCGAAAGGTTTGAGAAAGTTTAGTTTACTTCTGATTAAATTCATGGCTAGTATCTTGAATTTTCAAGCTAGTATCTTGAATTTTCAAGCTAGTATCTTGAATTTTCAGGATGAATTTTCAAGTTACTATGTTGAATTTTCAAGTTAGTAACTTGAATTTTCAAGTTATTATCTTGAATTTTCAAGTTAGTAACTTGAAAAGTCGTTGAATTTTCAAGTTAGTAACTTGAAAATTCAACATACTAACTTGAAAATTCAACATACTAACTTGAAATTAAAAGAAAACAAAAATGAATGGCACTAATAAGCTTCCGTACAAACCAGCTATCCTGATGTTGGATTTTTTATCCAAAACACGTTTAAAATGAAGTCTAGTCATATTGATGCTGTAAAGCAGTAGAAGTTATTTTTAAAAGTTTATTGAATCTTTGAATTCAATTTTTTTTTTCCCAGAAATTCAGTTAGTGTCAGAAACTACAGAAGAAGAATTAAAAAATTCCGAAGGTTTCGTTCCCGATTTAGTTCAGGGGTTAAAGGTCGCATACACGACCCCTGCTCCTTCACAGGTCAGTGAACAATCACAAAAAGTAAATGTTTTTCTAGGGATGGGCACTATAGTAGGAAATATATGTTAAAGATCCCTTAAAAAATATGTCAACTATCAATTGAAAGTACAGTTGGTAAATTCACTTAATGTAAAAATCCATTTCATTTCATTAGTCCAATAAGCTAATTCATTTCAAATGTATTTTAATACTCATCTCCAATTAAAATTTGATAAATTCTGTTTTATTTTTAGAACTCTGATTCTGGCGCCATGGTGGATAACACTGAGAAATCTCTTGAAGAATTAATGAAAGAGATGCAAACATTATAACATAACCCAAACTTCCTGTTTTATTTGGAATCAAAATATTGTAAAATCAAGAATTATGGGAGGTGATAAAGACTTCAGCTTATGCTGGATATAGTGCAAAGCTCATCTATTTGACACCCCTCAACTTTATATTGGACTCTTCCACACATACATTCGTTCTATTAATATGAAAGTGTATATGTATGTCTGGAAAAGCTCATTTGTGAAATAAGGGGTGTTTTTGTTTCCTGTATTTCATGATGTCTTTCATGATGTCTGAAATTTGTCCAGCACCCTCCTTCTTCAGATGTATTGATTAAGGTTAATTTCTGGATACGCTTAATGGTACGAATAGGCTGTCTACAGACCCCCACCCACATCCTGCCTCCGACAGCTTCCATAGGAATTATGGATAATGTGTCTTTGGTTTCTACATCAACCTAGCCCCCACCCCCCTCCTCCTCTCACTCAAAAATGCCTAAGATAAGGATGCCCTGCTTCCAGCGCCTATGATGAATAAGTATTAAAAATGTTGATTTTGATAAGATTTTGTCAAGACTTAAGAAATCTCTGTTTTGTTATTTATAAATGCTGGCATTTTCATAATCAACTAATTTCTGTTTGTGTTTGGTTAAGGTTTTGTTTTCTTGTTTTATTTTGTCTTTTATTCACACTCATCTCTCTATGTGGGCCGGTGGGAGCCGCGGTGGCTCAGTGAGTTAGACGCTTGCTCGCTAACCTGAAGGTCCAGGGTTCATTCCCGGCATAGGTCGAGATAATACTTTCGGATTTTTCAACCCGGTTTCCCCCTGTCAGTGATGCAGGAACGAGGGGCTGACATGGAAAAAGCGTCTAGTCGTTCGGATGGGACAATAAACCGAGGCCCCATGTGCTACAGGCTGTGCACGTTAAAGATCCCTCGACAGTTGGAAATCGAAAAAGAGCAGGCTAATGCCGCTGTCCTGGCAAAATTTCCCTCATGGCGTTGCCCGTCTTCATTAGCCCACATGGTGCAGAAAAGTAGGACGTAAAACTCCATTCATTTCATTTCATTTCTATGTGGGCCGGTATTGCTCGATGTCAGTGGTTTTCTCCAATACACAACAAAGCTAGAAAACCTATTTTTTATCATCTTTAGTTGAAACAGAAATAAGTAAATCTCTCTGTTTTCGTTTCATTTATCTGTAAATAAAAGAATATAATATTATTTATGCCATTCATTGTTTAATGTTTTCTATGTTGAATTGTATGTATTTACATTCCCATTGCTTTCTGCTGAACCGGACGTGATATAGGTTTCGTGCTGACACGAATATTTCATTTAAGTACAATTTTGTATTTGGGTTTATATCCGGGTTGATGCAACTTTTCGGAGAAAAGTAATACATTTTAAAGGATAAAGTCTAATTTTAATTAGACCGTTGAAAAAGCTGACAATAGCCTAAATTCGATACTTCAGAGGATTGTCTACGTTGAACAGTGGCGGAGCCGCAAGGCGGAAATCATATCTTTGCCCGAATATCCTATACTATAACCGTATTTTTTTTAAATTGATAGCCCATCCCGTAAATTAAACTGAATACTTGTGGATCTCCTAAGGGGGGTGGTATCATGTGTTCTAGAAAGAGTGAAAATACTCTGCCAATAACAATAGTGTTTCTCTCGAAGAGTTTGCAAAACTCTCATAACTAAAATATATAGACACAGCTTTATGGAACAACAATCACTGTCCCCGGGACGTAAACCTGGCCCCGCCACTGACGTTGAATATAATCGACTGTTTCCCTTGAACTAGTTGAAGTTCACACATCCGGTTCGACTATTAAAACCGGGGTTATTTATAATGCTTCATTTTTGTATGTGTAACTCTAGTTGGGTAAGTGTCGTAAATTATAACATTTCACAAACTAAACCTGGTCAGAATTTTATATTTAAAACACGTGTTAAGCTCTAACCAGTCATATTTTAAACGAGTCTTTTTGCTGCAGAATATTCACCTTTATTTGACGCTCCTGTTCAGGGAGTTTTCTTACAAACTATGTGTCTTTGCCATTGAATAATACTGTCTGCTTTATAATGTCGCACAACGTTTCAACAATTTACATTTTCTGCAACAGGCGCAAGCTGAATAGCAACGGAACTTAACGGATTTAAACACATTCCACCGAGAAACTAATTTGGAACGAGAAACATGGAAGTTCAAGAAACAACCACAAAACCGGGAAAATCAAACCGTTTTTGTTTCTGTGCCGTAAGTATTTTTATCTACGTTTTCAATCTGATTAAAGAAACAGAACTGGATATTCCATTTTTTGCTTGTTTTTTTTTTGTTGTTGACAGAATCTGTTTTGAGATTGTCATATCGTTTATCCTATTGCTTATTTAGTGTTTCTTATCTAAGCGTTCTGATTGGACAATATCTATTTTCAGTTTATCTCAACGTTTATCCTATTGGCTATTTTGATAATACTAGTTTCGGCTGTTTTACATAAAATTCACTCTCAAGGACCAACACCATCATCTTTCATACCAAGTAGAGGGTAAGAACCACGTCTTATACCGTGACATCATAAATTTGTATCGCGGACGTTTGAAATACAAAGAGCGATTCAATTGGATTGTACGCTAGTGAATACAGCCAATCAGAATCCCCGAATATACACAGCCAAACTGTTTACAGTTTTCTGTCCGGGGCTCTGATTGACTGTATTCACTAACATACAAATTCAGAAATCAGTTTAGCCTGGATATACTGAAAATAGGACACTGCATGACTTGAGTAAGACAATTGGTAGGACAAACCACTCTTACAACTGTTAAAGTTGTGTATCATGTGATACAAAAAACACCTCTATGACATCATGGCCGATCTCTCCTATACAGTTGCTGCTTTTTAAAACTCCGTGATACATCGTACATTACTCCATTGATATTTACTTGATATTATGCTATTGTGCACGACATATGACCAGGGATTTAACTCTGTTTGAGTAGCCTATTACTCTAAACCAACACCTTCCATAGTTCCGATTGGATGCCGATTTAGTGGGGATTTCACTGTCGGCCTACAAGAAAAGTAGCTAATGTTGTATAGACGTAGTTCTTAGTGTTTAGATATATACAGATACAGATCGGAATATGCGATCATCTAGTTGATCACAGGTGCTAGTAGTCGATCAAATTTCTCGCCCTGATTGTTTCAGTCCTGTCTACTTCAACGGTGAGATGCTTTAAATTGCCTACCTTAATTAACATCTTCCAAAATAGCCCGACAAATCCGGTCATTGGGACAGATTTGTCGTGCTACATCCCAGTCTAATTAAAATTAGACCAAACTTTCGTTCCGTTTTTATATATAGCCACTTCAGTTAGGGTCTAACGACAGCCTTCTTGAACGTTCGTCAAATTGACCTTTTGACCTTAACTGATAAACACCGCTGAAAAAGGTAGAAATTTTATAGGTTAAAGCAGACGTAATCGAGTTGGGTCAAAAGGTTGATTTGGCAAACGGGCTGTCGTTAGACCCTAACTTAAGTGGCTATATTAAAAATAAAAGCTAATAAAAATAGATTTTTATATTAATGAGACTGGCTACATTTAATAGAGAAATAAAGCCGGTGGTTTACGAGAAGTGATACGTTCCTAATATGATCATGAAAAAATGTGAGAAGAGAAAAAGGTTTTGATTATTTTTTTTTAAAGTTGATTTAATTACCTTACTTAGAACTAATTAGTAATGATGTGATTAATTTTTTGATTCATTATTTTCCAGTGCAACCGTGAACGAGCGATTTCCAGGCTATTTCAGGACTAAAAAACAACAAGAGAATTTCGAAAAGGAGAACCGATTCGTCCACACGGGCTGTTGTAATTCGTAAGTAAAAAAATTAAAACACCCAATTATAACACACGATTATTAAACCTTAGGCCACAATGCGACGGGGGTTATCAATTCGGCATCTCTTGAATCATAGCTTATGATGTCTGGGAGTTGTTTAGATCTGTCAACAGGACATCTCTTAAAGAGAGTTCACATAGCTTATAATGTTTATGTGGTTTGTAAACTGGATATCTATTGCAGAGAGTCCACATAGCTAAAGATGTTTATGTGGTTTGTAAACTGGATATCTCTTGAAGAGAGTCCACATAGCTAAAGATGTTTGTGTGGTATTAAGGTTTGTAAACCGGACCTCTCTTAAAGAGAGTTCACATAGCTTATAATGTTTATGTGGTTTGTAAACTGGATATCTCTTGAAGAGAGTCCACATAGCTGATAATGTTTATGTGGTATTTAGGTTTGTAAACCGGACCTCTCTTAAAGAGAGTTCACATCGCTAATAATGTTTATGTGGTTTGTAAACTGGATATCTATTGCAGAGAGTCCACATAGCTAATAATGTTTATGTGGTTTGTAAACTGGATATCTCTTGAAGAGAGTCCACATAGCTGATAATGTTTATGTGGTATTTAGGTTTGTAAACCGGACCTCTCTTAAAGAGAGTTCACATCGCTAATAATGTTTATGTGGTTTGTAAACCGGATATCTCTTGAAGAGAGTCCACATAGCTGATGATGTTTATGTGGTATTTAGGTTTGTAAACCGGACCTCTCTTGAAGAGAGTTTACATAGCTAATAATGTATATGTGGTATTAAGGTTTGTAATCTGGACATCTAATGCAGAGAGTTCACATAGCTAATAATGTTTATGTGGTTTGTAAATCGGACATCTCTTGCAGAGAGTTCACATAGCTAATGATGTTTTTGTGATTTTTAAATTAGATACCCCTGCAGAGAGTTCACATAGCTAATGTTTATGTGGTTTGTAAACCAATTATCTTTGATTCACTATATATTGATTAGAAACAGTACCCCCCCCCCCCCCTCCTATCCTTTTTTAACGCCCACATGAAATGGGGGGCGTATATTGCCGTCACCCATGTCCGTCCGTCCGTCCACAATTGCTTGTAAACACCCTACATGACACAATTATTGACGGACTTTGACAAAACTTGGTGTGAGTGTTCGTAATCACCCAAGAATGAACCCTATTGAAAATCAGAAGAATCGAAAAATATTTAGTATGAGTTATTGCCCTTGTTCTTGAAAACGCGTTAAATTTTTTTTTCGTTATCACCCAAAGGATGAACCCTATTGAAAGTCAGAAGAATTGGAAAATATTTAGTATGAGTTATTGCCCTTGTTCTTGAAAACGCTTTCAAATTTAGCTCTAAAACACTAAAAGGCATGATTCTTCTGGATTTTGACAAAACTTGGCTTTATTATTCAGTCCCGCGCAGAAGATTGAATATTTGCCTTCTAGAGTTTTCACGAGCCAAAAATTGAACACGTTTTCAAGAACTAGGGCAATAACTCATACTCAATATTATTCAGTATCACCCCAAAGTGTTCAGAAGAAGTGTATGACTGAAGGTTGAATATTTCATACTGGTGATTGTTACTGTACTGCTAAATATTTTTATTCAAAATCAAAGCTGCCAGTGGGCGTATATTACCTTGCCTGGCAAGCTATCTTTTTTCAAAACGTCCCTGATTGCGTATTGTATGACTTACATATCTTCATAAACTCCACTGGGAGCGGAACTCTATTCCCGTTCAATCTTCATTTCATTTTGTTGTTTTCATTATTATATCCCAATATTTTCAGGGACCCGCATTACGTTTCCCCTACCTATTGGGTTGATTCGGAAGATGTCAACAGAACTATTGCACAGTTTGATGGACATCAACAATATTTTCTACAAGAATCTTGCATGTAAGCAGAGTTTTACTAATTTCCGAATTTTACTAATTGCAAATTTTACCAAATTAGTCCAACGCCACAAATCCTTCGACAGTTTCCATAAAGTTGAATATATGTGGCAGAGCGATAGAAGAACTTTCAGTGACAGTGGTTCAACTAGACGAGTAGGGCACCATGGACTAAAGTGGGTTGGGGCTCTCCCTGGGAACTTTTTTTTTAATCATTATACTCTCATGCATTCCTTTATGCCATCCCTTTATTCGTCATATGCAGAAAAATAGGACGTAAAACTTCGTTCATTTCATTCGCCAGTAGCATATGTTTTCTTTCTTTCTCAAGTAATCATGGTAAATATCTGCCTAAAATGTTTCCTTAATTTACTATTTTTCAGACAGATTGCAAATTGTTTGTCATGTAGATGCCAAACATTGCCATATTTAGTTACGGCCGTCTACGTTGTCGCAGTAGATTCATACGATGTCGGCTGGTTTGATCTCGGTTCGTGTTGTAAATGCATCAACAGTTGATTTCCATGTGTAAGGCCCAGACTCCCTTTTCTGTAGTTGCGCAAATAGCAAGAAAACGACGTCGACATGGCTCATTATGTGCATATGTAGATAGTATGTCAAGTACTACGGATCGCGCACACGCATACGGATGCGTATACGCCTACGCCTAGCGCCTAGCGGACAAAAGGAGTCTGAGCGTAATTCTGTTTGTAGTAGACCTATACTATGCTGTTTGTGGGGAAAACTCTACATAAAACGCCGGGTTAGATCGTATTCTTCAGTCAAATACATTGAATTGCAGCTTTGGATTTTTCGTTTTGTGTTTATTCTTTGGGTGACTCCAATTGCCTTGCAAGATTTGATTGATTTGAAGAGATGATAAATGCATCCATTTTCCATTGTTATAAATGTAGGTCGGTGGGACTGATATGAAATGTGTCCATTTGTTCGGATGGAAAATTGAACCGAGACGTCTTATGCTACAGGCTGTGTACGTCTAAGATTTCTTTTGACTGATGGAAATTGAAAAAGTGCAGGCTAACCTGAACCGACAAATCGATGCCTTGTGCACTACAGGCTGTTAACGCTGAAGATCCCTCGACAACTGGAAGGGAGCGGGGAATCTCTGCCACTTCCTCTCTAATACGACCTTCGGGAGCCGCGGTGGCTCAGTTTGTTAGACGCTTGCTCGCCAACCTCAAGGTCTAGGGTTCAATCCCGGAATAGGTCGGGAAAATACCTTCGGATTTTTCAACCCAGTTTCCCCCCGTCAGTGATGCAGGTAAGAGGGGCTGACATGGAAAAAGCGTCTAGTCGTTCGGATGGGACAATAAACCGAGGCCCCGTGTGCTACAGGCTGTGCACGTTAAAAATCCCTCGACAGTTGGAAATCGAAAAAGAGCAGGCTAATGCCGCTGTCCTGGCAAAATTTCCCTCATCGCACCCTGAATGGCGTTGCCCGTCTTCATTAGCCCACATGGTGCAGAAAAGTAGGACGTAAAACTCCACTTCATTTTCTAATACGACCTTCTTTTGGGGATTTTAAGGGTCAAAGAAAAATGTTCATGGTTTTAAGGGCTAGAGGAGATACAATTGTTAAACTATATATATATATATGTATATAATTTATTATATTAATATAAAGCTGTCATAGGCATCATAGATATAAGATTTATAAAATTTATAAAACACAAAATTATCATCACTGACAACATCAACACAACAACTATAGATAGATAGATAGATAGATAGATAGATAGATAGATAGATAGATAGATAGAAAGAACAATTAATAGATATACAAAAAAATATAGTGTATACATAAACAAGTTTGAAAAAAGCAACATCATAACAAAATAATGCATTAACAAATACACACCATATGTGGTGACAAGTTTAAGAAACAAAAATATATATAAATTTATGCAACAGCACGAGGGACTATATCAAACACCATAATATCAAAATATACGCTGAATTTATAAAAGGTTCGCGGGAGTTCACAATGACATTGCGACAGACCAAATCTGCTCTGCCATCTGTCAGCAAAATTGCCGCCAGAAAAAGAAAAGAAAAATAATTATCTGAGATACTCTGAATTACCTCAGCTATCCTTAACATAACAACCGCAAAAACAACATCAGCAACTGCAATTTATAAACAAAATCGAAATGTAAATTATTATAACACTAGAGAAATAATCATCATAATCATAATCAAAATGTATATTATCAACATTTCATAATCATAGATTAGGTGTTTGATCTACGGAAATCTTGAATTAATATGAAATTAACAGCACAAAAATATATTAAAATCAGTTGAAAATTTAAAATATTACAAGAAAAAAAAAGTATTACGAATAACAAAGGAGAAAAAAAAAGCTATTAGTATCAAATGAATTTTTTCTTTTTTATACATTATCACAATCCCATAAAGAGAATGAAGAGCACTGACAGTGGTGATGATGATGATGATGATGATTGATGATAATGTCGGTGCCTGCACCCAAATCGAATAAATAAAACGTGATGATGATGATGATATTGTCAATGTTTTTTTCCATAGATGACGTAATATATTTTACTTGACGTCAGGAATGTGACGTCAGTAATGGTTGTTACATTTGTACGTCACATATGATGCGTTGATGATGATGATGACGTATCATGTAAGAGATCAAAGGTCTTGTAAATATTATACAAGTTATTATTTCTGCAGCAATTCAAAGTCCTTCGAGGTAAGGACTGTCCTGCTTTCATCTTCCAACAGAATTTCATTTCCTCTGGAATCATGTTTCGAAATTTCAGTTTCTGTTGTCTGGAAGATGGGATATTTTTCGAAGTTCGGTAATAACAGGTTCAGTCCACAAGGTTTTCTGCAGCTTGAAGATTGATGGCGTTCGAACACGACCGACACATACATGCCGTAATCTGCTGAACTCGGATAATAACTCGTCTGTAACCTCTCATACCGTTTTTCCTTGGGCACAGTATTTCTACTGGAACTTCCTTTTTGCTCAGTTCTTGGCAACACGAACACGACCGCTCAATGGTGGAGGGATCGAACGGAGATGTTCTGGTATGCGACTCGCACTTTCCTTGGCACCCGAACGTCGGAATTCTCTTTTCTCTGCAGTTACCTAACTTGATGGTGCGATGTCCGATCATGCGATGACACGTAGACGTAGAAGACACTATGGTCATGTCGGAAATGATGAGGAAAACTGTCAAAGCAGCTCCACAATTTAATACTTGAAATGGATTCATGGCACTGATCTGAAACGACAAAATGAAAACAATGTCCTATAAAGTACACAAAAAAGCAGGTGTCAGTGGTGAAAATATTCCTAAATTCATAATCGTCACAAACTAGGCAGAAAATCAGGCAGTAAATTTTATATCCTATTGATCTGAACTGTTTATTCTAGATATATCTTTCTATGAATAAATTTTTGAAAAAAGCACCCCTGTTCAATGAGTCGGCATATTTCGTGTTACGCTTTAAGTCCGAAGTTAGTTTCTATCTATCAATTTGTTGTCCTGGTAGGGATTTCATATCCAAAACACACGTCTGAGTTCTTATCAATTACTCACCTCAAAATTTTTGATTGAGCATTACAAAGCATTTAAAAACGAAAAATGTAGTCTAACCTACCTTAGTTTTCCTAATAAGTGTAAGTGTCTTAATAAATTAAAGTCGTTTGATTTTCTGAAGAAACATCTCTACTTTACCGCCTTATATAGTCATGGCATTGTTCGTCCTTGACCTACGTACCCTGACAGGTAAGCAAAATACGGTCAGCAACTGGTGAAGTTGATATGCCGATCGAACAAACTGTATTAACTGTTATATCCTTCCTTGTTGAACTAATGAATGTAATGGAGCTTTATGTCTTGGCCTACTGTTTTGTAGTTGTTGGATTAATGAAATGGAGTTTTATATCCTACTGTTCTGTATCTTATTGAACTAATGAAATGAAATGGTGTTTTATATCCTACTATTCTGTATCTTATTAGACTAATGAAATGAAATGGTGTTTTATATCCTACTGTTCTGTATCTTATTAGACCAATAAAATGAAATGTAGTTTTATATCCTACTGTTCTGTATCTTATTAAACTAATGAAATGAAATGGTGTTTTATATCCTACTGTTCTGTATCTTATTAGACCAATAAAATGAAATGTAGTTTTATATCCTACTGTTCTGTATCTTATGAAACTAATGAAATGAAATGGTGTTTTATATCCTACTGTTCTGTATCTTATTGAACTAATGAAATGAAATGGTGTTTTATATCTTACTGTTCTGTATCTTATTGAACTAATGAAATGAAATGGTGTTTTATATCCTACTGTTCTGTATCTTATTGAACTAATGTAATGAAATGGTGTTTTATATCCTACTGTTCTGTACCTTATTGGACAAATGAAATGGAATTCGAGCATGTGTATGTGTATCATTGAGACACTTTTTGTACGATGGTTTATATGAAGATATTTGATTTACACATCGGAAACGTTCGGAAGTTTTGTCTGGACCTCGTTCTTTATCTGAATCAGTACGATAGTACAAGACACACAGTGTGACGACAAGAAGGCAAATCCGTCAAACCGTCTATTATGACAATGTTCTGGAGAAATTTGTCTAAAGGGATGCGGTCGTCGGGTTTACCCACAAAGCTTGTACTTGCAATAGAAGCTATAAGTGTCCGAGCAACACATGAAAAGTCTAGAAAATGGTGTAAATAGAAGCTATTAGTGTCTCTGATACACATATAAAGACTAGAAAATCAGAATGGTGTAAATAGAAGATATAAGTGTCCCTGATACATATAAATACTAGAATATCAGAATGGTGTAAATAGAAGATATAAGTGTCCCTGATACATATAAAGACTAGAAAATCAGAATGGTGTAAATAGAAGATATAAGTGTCCCTGATACATATAAATACTAGAATATCAGAATGGGGTAAATAGAAGTTATTAGTGTCCCTGATACACATATAAAGACTAGAAAATCAGAATGGTGTATGATACACATGTAAAGACTAGAAAATCAGAATGGTGTATGATACACATATAAAAACTAGAAAATCAGAATGGTGTAAATAGAAGCTATAAGTGTCTTCTGATACACATATAAAGACTAGAAAATCAGAATGGTGTAAATAGAAGCTATAAGTGTCCCTGATACACATACAAAGGCTAGAAAATCAGAATGGGGTAAATAGAAGCTATAAGTGTTCCTGATACATATAAAGACTAGAAAACAGAATGGTGTAAATAGAAGCTATAAGTGTTCCTGATACACATACAAAGACTAGAAAATCAGAATGATGTAAATAGAAGCTATAAGTGTCCCTGATACATATAAAGACTAGAAAATCAGAATGGTGTAAATAGAAGTTATAAGTGTCTCTGATACATATAAATACTAGAATATCAGAATGATGTAAATAGAAGCTATAAGTGTCCCTGATACACATATAAAGACTAGAAAATCAGAATGATGTAAATAGAAGTTATAAGTGTCCCTGATACACATATAAAGACTAGAAAATCAGAATGGTGTAAATAGAAGCTATAAGTGTCCCTGATACACATATAAAGACTAGAAAATCAGAATGGTGTAAATAGAAGCTATAAGTGTCCCTGATACACATATAAAGACTAGAAAATCAGAATAGGGTAAATAGAAGCTATAAGTGTTCCTGATACACATATAAAGACTTGAAAAAAAGAATGGTGTAAATAGAAGCTATAAGTGTCCCTGATACACATATAAAGACTAGAAAATCAGA